CCATGGAAAAAAAGGCAATGCATAGATTTATGAAAAAGTCAATTCCTTTCCCTGAAAGAGACCACAGAGAGATGGGAATGGGTCATTGGAGCCTCCTGGCTCTGTAGCCGGAGCCCAGGCGAACAAAACTCTCCATTCTCCTTAGCAAATAGAAGCGGCAATGGCAGGTGAAAAGCTGCTAAAAAAAGTCTTCAAAAATGCCCTTTGCTCCAAGGGAGGGACTGCAAAGATTCATGTCATGATGAGGTGCAGCCTAGGTGCATCTGCACCTATGGGGACCATGGCACTTGTTGCTCAATATTGGGGAGGAGGGCAGTGCTGAGGGCAGGGCTTGCAGACCCCACATGGAGAGCCAGCCTCAGGCTTGAGCAGGTGGCAGGGCAGCCCTGGGATGCACTGGGCTGCTGAGGAGGAACACACAGGGAGCCTGGGGTCCCCGCTCACTCATTCCCAGAGCATGCTCCTTTGTCCCTGCTAACAATGGGACGGATGAGCCTGTGCTGGAGCTGATGACACAAGCCCCAAGTGCAGGGAGCAGCTGGCGGCTGCTAAAGGGAAGCACTGTGTGCGCTCCAGTCCCATGCATGCAGCTAGGGTGTTAGCCAGGCTGGGGCATCCCTCTCCCAATGGTCCTCCTGACAGTCCCCAGACTCGCCAAGCATCTGAACTCTTGCACATGCCTGAAAGGAAGAACATTCCCTGCCTTTTTTTAACCCTCCTCCAGAGCACGGAGCCTCCTGGCTGGTCTGGAGTGCAGAGTACTTCTGCATCCCTGCTCCTCTCTTCTGGAAACCTCCATAGAGCCTGCATAGTGAGAGTTAACCATCCTGGCCTGGTGGTTTCTTCATAAATAAGAAATGTTCATAAACTGCTTCCATTTCTGAAGACCTAGCAGGCAGAAGGGAGGAGTTAATGCAGGGAAGCCATTTCCATCTTCTGTAGCATCACTGCATTATTCATCTCTCCGTCTCCAAGGGCCAGAAACAGAGTGGGGAAAGCGAGGCCGGAGGTGGTGGATGGACAAAGGCAGCATTGCACTTTGAGAGCTTTCCTTGGCCAGCACCCTGGAAGGCTGATGCTGGCACTTGCCTGCCCCTGTTTTTTGTGACTCTGTGCTGCAGGCTGGAGGGAGGGGAGCAGTCTCCTCCACCTATGATCCATGCAGTGATGCTGCAAAGCCCAAGGGCTGCCTATCTGGGCCATGCTCCACATAGCATCCATGGGGCCTTGCTAGGCTCCCAGGGGCTATTGTGTCTCTCTGATCAAGGGCAGAGCTCATCTGCAGCTTTCCATTCTTGTCCCTCACAGGTGGAATGGGCAGTGCCTGGGTTTGCCTTAGCTCTGTAAGAGGGGTGAGTCCTTTGCATCCCTCCAGCCTGCTGGTGCTCTGGGCCCAGGTGGATAGCACTGATTCCTGGATGCACTTACTCATCCTGTAGCTCTCCAGCTGTTAATTGGTGCTGGGAGGATGCCAAAGGCCTTTCTGAAAGAGACACTTTCAGATGCATCTGCCCAGGGCCCTCATGTCTCTCCTCTCCAGCAATAAGCAGGGGGGATGTTGATGGGAAGGGACTGCTGCACGTGGACTGTGCTGTCGCATTAGGAGCAGAAGCCACATCACATCACCCTGCAGTTATTCACGAGCAACAGGGAGAGGGAGAAAGACTCTTTTCTTCACACTTTTGGAGGCAGGATGAAGGCAGGAGAGAAATCTTCCTGTTGGAATTTCTCTCCCATATTCTTCCTCTCCTTTGGAGGTAGTCAGGAGGGGACCTTCCTCCATCTCAGTGGTAAGCGTGATCTACCGGACATGGACATGGACAGCAGTCAGGCTGCAATCTGCAATGAGGCTCCTTGCAGCTGGGAAAACTTCCACAAGGAGCCTCCTGCAAACACCTAGACAGGAAGCTGTCTGCTGGTGCTGCTCAGAAACTGCACACTCATGCCTGCCTCCACAGCAGCACCAGCCAGAGATTTAAAGGGAGCTGCAGTCATTTGCAATGGGTCTTAAGCATTTGCATGCCTTCAGAAGCAATTTTGAGCTTGTATTCTTTTGCTTCCTACCCTTCTGTAGCCAGAGCTGTGGAGGAGATAGAGCTCACAGATATGTGCAGCTCGGTGTGTGTCTGTGGCACATGTGTGTGCACATTGCTACATGCTGTGCTTTGATGCAGACTTTCTGCTTGCAAATTTTTGCAGTAGCGCAGCAGGGCAGCATGCATGCTGTGTCTGAATTGATCTACAAAGGGGTGCTGCCACTTACATTCTGCCATTTGTCAGTTACCTGGACTGATATCTGTCAGTCTGTGTTATCCACTGCCAGCAGTGCAATCACGTGCAGGTGACACAGCTGTGTGTAATGCCCATATTTGGGTCACTTGACGTGCAGCTGACACAACAGATAGGAGCAGGCCTTGGCTCCCTCTACAGCAGCAAGCTTAGCACTGGGAAGCCTGCTATGCCCTCCTCAGGCATCACAGGACCCCCAGCCCGCCTGTGTCCCAAGCCCCATTTGGGGCAGCCTGCCCACAGCCCACCTAGGGAGAGAGCACCTGGAGCCGAGATTCTATTGAATTAGCAAAACCATTGCTGCACAGCCAGCTTGCAACACCTCAGCACCCAAATGACACCTGGGATCAGGTTCTGCCGAAGCAGAATATGACTTTTCATATCAACTTTCACAGTGCCAGCCATTTTGGTGGAGCCCAGTAAGGGCATAAAGATGGGGCAGGGCATCCTGCAGCCTTCTACTCCTTCCTGGGGAGCTTCAGGACAAACCCCAGCTGATGCTCAGCATCCCTGACTGTCCCGAACTGTGGCTTCCTTTCCTGCTACCCCAGCCTTGCTGGAGGGCAGGGAGGAGGTCTTTGGCCGGGCTCTCCTCAGGTCCCTAGCTGCTCTCCTGTGCAGTAGTTGCTCTGCTTAAGCCCCATCCCCACCATACGATGGGTGATGGGAGCCAGTGAGGCACAAGCCCTCCCCGAGGTCCTCACTTGCCCTAAGACACCAGGGTCAGGGCTTGGCCATGTCCCTTTGCTGTGTCCCCAGCCCTTTCCACCACTACGCACTGTGCAAAGAGGGGCTCCCGGGTGCATTGCAGGAGACGTGCGATCGTGGGGACCCCCGGGCCGGCTGCCCCCACCGCTGGCCCGGGGCGGAGGCGGCGACCCCCCCGCTCCCCCCTCGTCACCGCAGGGCCGGGGGCCGAGCCTGCGTGACGCCGCCCGGCCCTGATTTGCTGGTTCCGCCCGCCCGGCCCGGCCCAAACTGCGGGAGCGCCGCGCCGCACCGCCCACAGCGCCGGCGGCAGCACCGGGCAGCACCGGGCAGCGCCCGCAGCAGCCCCGCAGGTAGGCACGGAGCGGCGGGCGCCGGGGAGCGCGTCCCGAGCAGGGGCTGCTTTGGGAGGGTGGCGGTCGCGCAGGGAGATGCTCGAGATGCTCGTCCTTGTTCGCCCTGGTACTCGCCCCATGCACACACACACACTTACAGACCTGCATACATACGCACACACGTGCATGCTTCCCAAAGAGTCGGGACTGCAGTATTTCTCCTGGGTGTGTGCATCCCTATCTGCCAGCTGGTCCCACACCCTTGTGATACCCATACAAGTCTGTTGTCCCCAAGGTGGGCAGCTCTTGCACGGGGCCCTTTGGCCCCATACAGGCCCCAGGTGCAGTTGCCGTTTGCCCTGCTCCTCCTGCACACACACACACTTGCACCTCATGCATGCAGGTGCACAGCAGCCCCCCCATCCTGGCCCCTGCTGCTGCCTCCATGCAGCAGGCTCTGTCCTGCACAGCCAGGGAGAATGCATTTCCCCCAACTCATCCCATCCCATCTGTCTGCCTCTCTTTCTATTCCCTGGCTTCCCTTCTCCCTTGCTTGAGCTTCTCAGGGTGGCTGGCACAGAGGTACTGCTGCAGAGATGCCGCAGGCAGGTGATAGAGTCTTTGGTGCAAGGTTTTGCTCTGCAAGAACACGAGTGGCTCCAAGGCAGTCATTCCTGGGAGTCCCATCCTCGCAGAAAGCCTCAGGGGGTCAGGTGAGAGCAAGGGCTACCTGGGTAGCCCTGCTCCTATTACAACATGCAAGAGGACAGAAGGGATTTAGGGCGCCCAAGAGCATGAAGTCTAGAAGATCTAATTCCTTTTGTACATAGATGAAAGGAAATCCCCCTCCCCAGGAGCTCATTTTCAGTGGTTTTCTGGAGAAGAAGCTGATTGTGACCTAGAGGGTGTCCCAAGTTGTCTGAGATGATGTGGGTTGGAGGTAAGAAAGCTAGGGCAAGGGCCCGTTTTTAGGAATCTGAAGGAGACTCAGACCGTCTCCTCCTGCATGTCCTTGTCCTCCATAGGAAACCTCTTGCTCATCAAGATTGAACAGAAGCAGAATTTTTGTTCTTGGCTTTAGTTGGGGGTGGGGATTTTCAGATCTTCCACAGCTTTGCAGTGAGCAAATGAGCTTGGTATTTCCTGTTCAAATGTTACATGAAAAACCCCAAAAACGCCAAATAGAAAAATCCATCTGACTGCAGTACAGACAGTTCCCACCTCCTCCTTGGATGCTTAGTCAGGTTCAGATGGGCAAAACGGGTGTCTGTCCTCCCCTCTGCTTGCCAGGTGAAGGGCTGGACCCAGGCACACATTCCCCGGGCTGGAGGGCTCACTGAAGCCATTTGTCCTTCAGCCCCAGTTTTGTCTCTGCTGCTCCCCCACCCTATTCCTCCGCTCCGTATGTCTGCGGCTGCATTCCCTGTGCAATTGCTTGGCTGGGCTGCAAACCTTTAATTGATTCCTCTCAAGCTGTTTGAGGCTGCTGGCAGCCCTGGGGTTTTGACAGTAAATCCATGGGTCCTTCCCTAGCACAGACCGCAAGGCAGCCTGGAGACAGTCAGGCTGCAGACCAGGGTCGCAGAGCAGAGGACTCCGCCACTGCAAAAGGCTTCCTCCCCATGGCTCGCGGAGCTTAGCTCAACCCCTGGAGACCTGGTGCCATCCTCTGGCAGACTTGGCTCCCTGTCTGTCTGCCTCCTTCTCCGTCCTCGCCGCTCTTGGCCCCTTTCCCTCACTGCATTGCAATGAGTCATCTCTGCTGAGCTCACCCGCCTGTGCCGCGGCAGGGGGGGCTGGCAGGCCTGGCCACCCGCCGTCCTGCACAAAGGGAGGGTCCCTCAGCCGGCACCTGGCCAGCTGCGAGCCGCGGCAGTCCAGCCATGATGTGCAGGCCAGGGAACACATCCTCGCAGCTCTTCCCTGTCCCTCGACCAGGCACCCAGCAGGAAAAGGGGCAGAGGGAGGGATGCAGGCTCCAGCCTCGCTGCAGGCAGCTGCAGGTCCATGCCAGGCTATTTTAACGCCTGGTGTGGGGGATACAGACAGGGAAAGCATTGCCTAAGGATATGAAAAGGCGATGGGAGCCAAACCCTGATGCCCTGCTCCCTAAATCCGTGGCAGGGCCAGACTTTCTCTGCTGAGGGGATCTTTTATCGTGATGAGGAGCAGGCAATGCACTAGCATTTGAGGGGAAGACGCTGCCTGCCTCCCTTGTCGTGTGTGGCCGCTAGTGCACATACATGTCTGCGTGCTGGGGCCATGGTTCTGCTTAACTGCCATCTTCTCTCCCTGCCCAGGCTCCCTTCTCACCGGCAGCTGCCTCCGGGCACCGCGGCGCAGAGATGAACCCCACTGTTGGCATTGCCGTCTTCCTGACAGGTATGGTCAGTGGGTGACACATCCTCTCTTGCCGTCTAGCAACCTTGGCCCTGACTCACGGGACACATGCTGCAGCCCCCAGTTCCATGAGGAACAGGGCTGCAGCATCTCCCACACAGGGTGGATATCCGGGACCCATTCCCAGGGGTGCAGGGCACGCTGGAGTGGGGTGGGCACAAGGTGTCTGGGGAAGGGGCAGCAAGGTTCAACTCTCTCCAGAATGCTATTTCGTACTAGGGAGGTTGCATGGGCCTCCCCAGTTCTCACCGCTCTCCGTTTGACCCCTGCTTGCCTTTCCCAGTGCTCCAAGCCACTCACTGTCAAATGATCAAGGATCTGAGCGCCTGCTTGTTGGGCCAGAACCTGCGGGTGGACTGCCACTATGAGAACAGAACCAGCAACCCCCTGACCTACGAGTTCAGCATCACCAAGGACAACAGGAAGCACGTCATCCACAGCACCATAAGCGTCTCTGAGAACGCCTACCGGAACCGGGCCAATGTCACCATGCACAAGAACCTGGTGTGCCTGCACCTGCAGAGCTTCACCACCAGCGACGAGGGCGTCTACCTGTGTGAACTGAAGGCCACTAACGACTACACCATCAACCAGTCAAAGAACATCACTGTCATCAAAGGTGAGTTTGGCAATGGTGCCTGGTCTCTGGCTCCCCTTCAGCCCCTCCTTCCCATCTGCCCCTTGGGTAAACAGGGCCAGCAAGGAAATCCATGACTGCATAAGATGTCTCCAAACCTTCCCGGATCCCTGTTCATATGTTCCAAGCCTTATACGTCCAGATTCAGGACAGCAGAGCAGCCAGCCCTATGGGAAGTCCCACTCGGACCCAGTTCAATCCCTCTCCAGTCCTGCAACTCCAGAGTTCCTATTCTTGCCTTGTCATCTCTCTTTGAGGAGAGGCAGGACTTGATGTTCCTTGGGCTCTGTATGTCCCCAAAAGCTATCCCAATGGGATGACACAAAGTGGGAGGAGAAACTGAAAGCAATGGGCCAGGCCAGGATTTGCTGCACAAACACAGCAGAAAGTAGGCAAGCAGCACCCCTTAAAACATCTATCCTGTTGCAGAGAGATCTCACGTCTCCGTCTCTCACCCCTCCTTTCCTCTCCTCACAGACAAACTGGAGAAATGCGCCGGCTTCAGCCTCTTGATCCAGAACACCTCATGGCTCCTGCTGCTCCTCCTTTCCCTGCCTCTCCTGCAAGCCGTGGACTTCGTGTCCCTCTGAGAGGAAAAGCACACACACTCGCACGCACGCACACGCACATACACACTCATACCCCGATTCCCCCCCAGCAAACCCGCTCCCCCCCGCTGGAATGTGGCCCTTGGAAAGAGAAGCCAAGCGATGTGAAACAAATGCAACCTCTATATTATCTCTATATAGCCGTATATCTAATGCTAACCCCCTGTCCTGTGCTGAGACCTGCCACGATGCGCTCACGTGTCCCAAGCACTGCCCCCAGCCCAAGCACGGTGGTCCCACTCAGCAGCACCGCTTCTCCCATCCCACTGCCCCCAGCTTGCTCCAGCTGCTGTGTTCCTGCTGCGGGCACTGGCCCCGCACCTCCCATCCTTTTACTTGCCATTTCTTGCCTGTTTTCACCTGGAGAAAGACAGACAGGCTTGCAGGTAAGAGAGACAGTGGGCGTGCAGGGATGCAGAGGGGTGTCCGGGCTGGGTGCAGTGAATTGGAATTGAGTTTCTCCTAATTTGCTTTTTTTCCCACTGAGCTGTAAGTGAGGCCTCCAGGCGTCATCTGGTACTTTGGGCTGCCAAAGCCCGAGGCATCCATTGGGACTAGTCCTTAGCTGTGACGAGGGAAATTGCTGCCAGCAACCGCTTGTGGCAGAGACGAGCAGAGCGACTCTGAGCTAGCGGCTCCCTGCAGGAGCTAACCAGGCTGGTGGCACAGGAGGGCTCCCCTGAGGGACCGTGACCCCAGATCTCCCTCCCCAGGAAGCTGGTCTACCCTTCTCCAAACGTCTTGCCTGATGGCGTCGTAGGAAACACCTGATGGTCCTGATCCCTCCTTGTGCCTGGCCCTGGGCACCCTCAGGAGAGGCTGAGCAACCTTCCTCCGGTGCAATCTTCCTCTGAAGTCCATCTATACCTCCTGCTCGCTTCCTCCCTTTTGACATTTTGGCATTTCCCCGTCTCCAGTGAAGAACAACATAGGGCCTATGGGCAGCTCAGCTCATGACCACCGCTTCAGCTAGGCCAGGATGTCCCCAAGAAGGCTGCAGGGAGGGTGGTGAACTTTCCCCGTGTGCCGAGATGACAGAGAGCCCTCCGTGCCGGCTGCTGCTCCCTCCTCGCTTTCCTCCGCGCACCCAGCTCCGGCCAGCCCTGGCCCTGCCTGCTTGCTTGCCACGCAGCATTGCCGAGGCCGTGCACGGCCGGGGCTCCCCGCTGGGCTCACTACTGAGTGCTGCGGTGGGCACCCAGCCTGGCTCGCAGCGCACGGGTGCATCTCCACACTCATTTTTTTGTGAACATTTGTAGTTGTTCCCACGGCTTGTTGTCAAAGAAACTTTGTTAAAGGGGGATAAAAAAAAAAAAAAAAAAAAAAAAAAAAAAAAAAAAAAGGGAACCCCTTCCAGAAGCAACAAGAACATCCATCTTTCAAGAGTTTTCCTCTGTCCGCACAATAAAACCCTAGGTCGTGTGTTGGAGCCGCGTGTCTGTGGGTGCAAGGCGAGGGCCGTGGTGCGGCTCATCCCCTGCTAGGAGGGAGGGAAGGGGCCCACATTTGCAGTGGGACGCTGGGGATGCCCTGGCCCTCTTGCTGGCACAGGGCAGCCTTCCCCTCCATGTGCCTCCACTGAGGCCTCTCCAGTCCCACAGGAATGGAGTGAGGCCGGAGCAGTCCAGCCTTCCATCCCCAGTGGGGACCTCAGCACTCACTCCGGCCCCATTGTGAGCTCGGGGCCAGCGCTCCGGTGTGTGGCAGGGCCACCGGTTCCGTCGGGACCCGGCGAAGGGGGTAAGTGGGTGTCTCAGGAGGCCTGCTCCTGCCTGGCACCCCAGGCAGGTCCTGCGAGCGGGTCTCCATCCCATCAGCCCAGGGTGCCTGGGCTGCAAAGGGGAGTCTGTGCCAGCGCTTGGGGCGGATGCTCCAGGGAGGGCACAGTCGGCACCAAAGCCATGGGCACGTGTGGGAGTGGGGCTGGGGTGCAGGCACATCAGTGCCCCTGCTGTGTTCTTGCTGATGTGCTTGCTGGTGTGCAGGCTCTGCCCATGGCCTCGGGCTCCGAAGCAGTTGGGAGCAGCTACACAACGCTCCCCACTCCAGATTCAGGTGCTGCGCAGGGGGACACGGATGGAGAACCCCCACTTGCCCAGGGGCTTGGGAGCAGGTTCCCAACACCGCTGCCGTGACCCACAGCAGTGTGCGGCAGCTAGGCCCAGCCCTGACGCTGGCGCGGCCCTCCCTGTTCCCGGGCAGCAGGGAGGAAAATGCTCGCGTAATTGCATCCCGCCTAATTATCCAAAGCAGGTGCTTCCTGAGTCACAGCCTACCTGGGTGCTGGCGCATAGGGTGTCCCGTGCCACTTGGAGTCCTTGGAGCCCGCTTTGGGTCTTTGGAGCCCGCTTTGGAGCTGGGCTTGGGACACAGCGCAGGGTGCCCCTGCTCCCACCTCTGCTGCCGACCTGGGGAGGCTCTTCCCACCACACCTTGCTCCAAGAGGAGCAAAACCATGACCATCCCCTCCTCTCGCTGCTCTGCTTCCAGCACTCCTGGTGGCCATGGGCTCCTGACCACCACAGGCTTCCTCTTCCCTCCGAGACCAACTTTTCTCCCCTGGACTGCTTCTCCCTTCCCAGACCTCTGCCCATACTCACTCCCAGGTGTCCCACCTATTTCTGCAGCACCTTGGCCCCAGCTTCCCTCCTGGCCAGCACCCTCTTGCCGTGGGCCACCAGACCCCGGGGCTCACGTCCCCTTTAAGCCTTCCTGAAGCTGGAATGCGAGAGGAGCATTTCGGTGCCCTGCGAGGTCAGATAAAGACGCTATATTTATCTAGCCGGTAACCTGAGCCATGAATTTGTGCTGTGGCGTTTTTTACACAGCCCCGTGGCCCTCCAGCACATCCCCCTCGGGCCATTTCGCCCAGGCCCTGGAGGGTGCAGGAGCCAAGCCTTGGGCTGTCCAGCCCTCTGCATCGCTCCCTCTGCTCCAGCCCCAGAGGAAGTGCCCGAGGAGGCAGGATCTGCTCCCCCTTGCCAAGCCCCACGGCAGTGCCCATGACCAGCCGCTCGCCTGCAGCCATGCCGGCCTTGCCCCCGTGACCAGTCGCTGTGTGTCCAGCTGCCCATGCACAGGTGAGTGATGGGACCACTACGGAGATGCCAGCAAAGCGGGGTCAGAGCCTGAGAGGTTGCAAGGGGAACCCAGTCAGAATCTCACCTTTTCCCTTCAGCTGGGTGAAACCTGGGGAGAAGCTGCTGGACGTGTAGCTTCTGGGGAGCTTCCCCAGGGACCCTTCTATTCTTCTGCCCGCAGACCTCAGAGCAGTGGCTCTTACGTCAGGGCTCCCCGTGGGTTTGGCATTTGGCTGCCTTGGGGGTGGCCCGACAGGAGGGGTGAGTCGCAGGTTTTGTAGCCAGGCAAGTATGTGTCAGCGGCACGATGGCAGCATGGGTCCTGCCGGTGACTCCCAGGCAGCATGTGGAGCGAGTTGGAGGTCCCTCATCTCCTACTAGGGGATGCATTTGCTAGGAGTGGAGGAGCCCTAGAGCCCCCCCAGGCTCTGAGATCTCTTTATCGCTGCTTAAGTGCTTCCCACAAGCCTCCGGCAAGCACAAAGCCACCGGAGCACATTCCAGTTTCTGGGGGCTGCCCTTTCCCATGGCAAATGCAGCTATGCCTGGGCTCGTCTCTCCAGGGAAGGGGCAGTGGGCTGCCCTGACCCCCATGGCACCATAGGGACATGGATGTGAAGTTCTTCCCCCCTGAGTGTCCCGCTGTCCCGGAGGTTGCTCCTCCAGTAACCTCTGGGCTGGAACATCATGTCTCAGGGAAGGCGGACACAGCTCCAAGGCTGCGTAAGCAAGAAGCAGCTGCACTGCAACACCTTGGATGACACTGGGGCTGTGAAAACTGAGACTGCTGGATGCTTCATGGGCCACGTAGCCTCCATCAGAGCCCGGAACTCGAGGTCCTGGGTGGATATCAGGGGCTGGAGAGGGAGGAGTGTATCCAGGGAGCGTCCTTCCCTGCTCCTCCACTTCTGGGGTGTGTATTTACCTCCCCAACAAGTCTGATGCTATCCCAGCCTGGAGTTCTCCTATCAGGACAGCTGGCCCAAATTGGAGGCCAGAGCTAGAGAATGGGGGGAGCAGCTCCTCGGTGCCTGGGCTCCAGGGTCCCATCTCCGTGCTGGCTGCTGCCTGTCCGCGTGATGCCAGACCGGACATTCCTGTGCCTCAGCTTCCCCGGACACCCAAGGAGGATAATGAGGGTGCAGGAGGCCTGACTCAGCGATGCCGGCCCCAGGGCCGTGCCAGGCAGGCAGCAGGAAAGCTCAGCGTTGTTGTGGGCAGGGAGGGGCCGTGCAGGCCGGGAAGCCATGGGAGGATCCGGGGTTTTCTCACACCCTCTCAGCTCCTCCAGCTCGGGGACACGCTCTCGTCTCCTGCAGCCCTGGGGTCCAGCACGGCGTGACAGGTCCAGGTGGTTGCAGTGGTCCTACACGGTAAGGTCGCTCCCATTCCTATCAGCCCGGCAGGTCCCCGCTCCCTGCGCCCACATCCCGCTCTGGGCTGTCCCACTGCCCCTGCCTGGCGCCAGTGCCTTTCCCAGGGCAGCAAGACCTGCACATGGGTGAGCAGCTGCCGGTAGTGCCCTGGGCAGGGATGCCGGCTGGGCAGGGAGTTCCTGCATGCCTGGGGTCGGCACAGCCACGCTGCCCCGAGCGCAGGGCTTCAGCCGGCTGCTTCAGCCTGCTGCTCCGTGCCCCAGCGAGCAGGCAACTGGCAAGGAGTGGCTTCCTGGGAGCCCGAGGGCTCAGCTGCCCTCATCCCAGCGCAGTCAGCCCGCAGGCCGGGGTGCCACATCCCTTGGAGCACAATTCCCCACTGCACATATTGAATCCCATCTGGCAAAGCCACTCCTGGGCCCTCTGAGCGCTGGTGAGGGTGGCCAGGGCTGTCAGGGAAGTGCCAGATGTTTCACAGGAGTATTTGCCCCCAAGCAGATTATTCACCCCTCTGTTCCCAAACAGGTCTGTGCGCTCTGGCTTGCTCTTGCTTGCAAACATTTTCCTCCCTGCTCGGGGAAGCCGGTTCCCTCCACAGTAGCAACAGCAACCAGGACGCGGCTGGATGGCCACAAAGCCAGGCTGCCGGCCAGGGGGCCACAGTGACTCCTGCAGCACACCCGGGGCCACCTGCATGCTGGGGTTATCTGGAGCAGAGGCAGCACTGGAGCTCATGCCCACGGCCCCTTGGTCCTGCGCCCCGTGGAGAGGCTCATCCCACCGCACCGTGCGCTCTCCCCTCCCGCCGACTCCGGTTTCACTCGGATCGGTTTCACCTGGCTGCTGGCCTGTGGAAAATGCAGGGCATGCACACCCTGTGCCTGGGCTGGGGGGAGGCCCGGGGCCCGCACTCGCCTGGGGTCCCAGAGGGAAAGGGCTGCAGCCAGGGGCACTTGAGCACTCTGACTGTCTCACCCTGTGCTGGACACCTGGGTTCCTCGTGGTTTCAGGCAGGGAGAGGTTTCATGGCAGCCGCTTCCTTTGCTGGTGTCTGTGCCCACGCCTGGATGCGTCCCATCCAGGAGAAGGAGGGGATGGGGCGGGCACCGGTCTAGTCACCCTTCAGCGCTGCTGCCTCTTGGCATGGGGCCAGTGCAGGCCAGAGCCCGCCCCGCTGGGCTGGGAAAAGCGGCTCTGAATCAGCTGCCTGGGGTCGTCTCCCTGGTGACGGGAGACTCCGGGAGCCACTGGAGCCACTGTCCCGCCAGGCGCCCCAGCAGCCCGGCACTAGCAGCGCTGCCGCACGCCCCCACCGGTGCCAGGGACAGGTAGGGGCCTGGCCACCCACCCCTGCTCTGAGAGACAAACATTCCCACCGGCTCCAGAGAGCCCGTGTTTGCAGCCTCTGGCGTTGTCCCGGCTTGGCTGTGTGCCTCCACGTATCTCCATGCATCGGGCTGCTGCATGGAGCCCTTCTTTCCTTCTGGCTGTAGGCATTGGTGCATTTGTGGGGTGTACCCTGGGCAAGGGGGCTTCCTGCCCCGTCTGTTCCACGTTTGCAGAGCTCTGACTCCACGTTTGCTCCGTGTTTGGACCTCTATCCCTGCTTCCTCCCTTTTTTCTTTTTTCCTTCTCCTGCACCTTAGGACAGTGTCCTGCCGGATCCTGTGGGGGTCAGAGTCAGGCCCTCACCTGCTCTCACAGGCTACCACAGCCACACGGGCTTGTGTGCGCCTGAATTATTGGCAGGAGTCAGCAGCACATCTGCTGGGGACACGAGCTGGGCCCTGGGCAGGGGCACCCCCTGTCACCCACATGCAGCCGCCAGACCCTGATGTGGGTCATGGTTGCAGGGCAGCCTGGAGATGCTGTGGGGAGTGGGGATGAAGAGCAAGGTCTCCTGCGAGTCCTGGCATGGCTGGTATTGCCGTGGGAGCCCCGGTTGTGCTCCCTGTGCTCCCAGGGTGGGAGCCAGCAAGCACTTCAGTGCTGACCCCCAGCTCTTGCCTTTCAGCCGATGCCTCCAGAGGAGCCCGCTGAGCCCCGGTCTGCACCATGTCCCAGCTCTCATCCACACTGAAGCGCTACGTCGACTCATCCCGCTATGCCGAGACCGCCTACAGCAGGGCACCTGCCGGCTACAGCTCCTACTCCTCTTCCTATGGCTCCACTCTGGCCACGTCCTACATGGACAGGGACAAGATGGGCTTCAAAACCAGCCCCGCCAGCGGCTACCTGGCCTCCCCCCGCTACCGTCACACCGGGCTGTCCCCCACCAGCAGCTATGAGTCCGGACGTCTCTCCTTCTACCCCGACTCTGGCATCCGCTTGAGCCCCGCGTACGCCCGCAGCCAGTCCCGGACGGCCGGTGGCGGGGGGCTGAGCGGCGGGGGCACCTGCTATGCCTTCGCGGGGCCCCCCGCCAGCACCCCGAGCTACACGGCCCCCCTCAGCCGCCGCAAATCCAGCAGCCACTCGGACCTGGCGCGGGAGTTTTCGGGGCTGCACACCTCGGACAGTGGCTACACACCAGCCCCGGGGCCCCTGGCCACCCGCACCCACCAGGAGCTCGGCACCCTCTACCAGGCCGCCGTGCGCTCGGACTACGTTCGCGACTACCTGGACACCTACGGCAGGAAGAGCAGTCACAGCGGCCTCCCCGCCAGCCCCACGCGGGGCATCCCTGGCTCTGACATGCCTTCCTCGTCCCCTCGCTGTACCGGGCAGCCCTGCGAGAGGAGCGACAGCGGAAACAGCGCGACAGCCTGGGACGCCTCGGTACGTGGTGCCGGGGGGGAGTAGGGGGGCACGCTGGGGTCGGCAGTCCATGTTGGTGCGTGCTGAAGCTCCATAGTCCATGCATGCACATCCCAGGGGTCTCCCCACGCTGTTCCGTGCTTCCATCCGTGCGTGTGGCCTCCAGCAGCTGCCAGGCAGGCTGGGCTGGTGTTGCCTGCAAAGGGCCCTGGGTGCCAGGTGCTTGGCCGTGTGCAGGCACCAGAGCAGCTCCTCCACAGCTGTGAGGCTCGCCGCAGTGTCGTGAGTGGCAGCGAGGCATTCGGTGCCTCAGGTATAAAGGCACACTGTGCCATCCCCAGAGCCCCAGCCCAGGCTGGGCACCAGCGTCACACTCACAGCCTGTCTCGGGAGCAAGCTGGTAATTTTCCACTCACATTTCCTTCCAAGATCCACTCAGGCCCTGTAGGTGCCGTGTTCCTCTCTCTTCCCAATCCACCTTTCTTCACTCCACAGCAGAGAGTGGTCCCCTGCTGCTCCATCCCACATTCACCAGCTCACCAGGGTGATGGTAGCCTGGGGTTGCTATTCCCAGGGGGAAGGACAGGAGGTTCTTCCCATGCCAAGGGGAAAGTGGCCCTGAGAGAGCTGAGCTAGTGCTTCTGCATCCCTGCCAGTGCCAAGAGGATGGGGAAAAGGCCATGGAAGGGCAAAGGTCATGGAAGCAACCTCCAGGCTGCTGCCAGTCCCCCTTTGTGCAGCTTCTACCCTGGCATCCTGATCTGCAGGGGAAGAGCTGCCACCTGCCCTCCCAGAGCTGCTTGTTCAACTCCCATGCTCTCTGACCCAGGGAGGTTAGGTACCCGTGTGGGTTGTGCAGGCCCTGGAGACAGGCAGAGGCAGCACAAGCGGGTGCAGCGCCTCTGTGCCTGGCGCCTGGGTGCAATGCATCTGCAAACCTGGTGGTGAGCAGGGACAGCTGCAACTGGGACCCCTGGGGGCGGCAGGGGGCTGCGCTAGCCCAAACCACAGTCTTGGGGGTGCGAATGCACCCAGAGGTCTCCTGCCAGGGCTACAGGGCGTCAGGCAGGCGAGGAGGCTGTGACAGTGACGCCGGCCTAGGTTCCCCGGGGGCTTTTAATGGTCTCACCTGCTATTTTCCACTTGGACGCCCCTCCCACCCCCACTTTGTCCCTTGGCTTTTCCAAGCCGGGAAGCAAGCGGAGCCAATTGTAAAACAGGCTGCAGGCACCCGCAGTCTTCATGCCAGGTGCCGGAAACCAGCCGGGGGGTGGGAGCGGAGTGCGTGCTACAGCCTCAGCACTGCCTCCGGTTCTGCCCCATTACCCAGGCACTGGGGCAGGGCCGGCGGCACTCGCTGCTGCTGGGAGCAGGGCATTGCCAGAGCCAGAGGTGCTCCGTCTTGACAGCCTTGGCACAAGAGGTGGGCGAGATGAGGGGGCTCGTACCTGGGAGGGGAGGATGCCTGCTTCTGCTCCATCACTCCGTGCCTCGGTTTACCCGCCTGCAGGGTGCCAGAGGTGCCATTATGAGCGGCGGTGCCTGTCGAGCGTCTGTGTGCACCCACGAAGGGCAGAACCGGAGATGTGCCGCCCCATTAACCGCCCTAGGTGAACATAGGGTCAGAAGGCCAGAGCCACCCGCGAGAGCACCCGCAGCTCTCTGCACTGCCGTCCTGAGCAGCTGACGGCTCTGGCCTGCAGCCAGTCCCTGCCCTGCCTCTGCAGTGCCCGTCGGGCTTGTGGCAACCTTTTCGCCATGGCAGAAGGTCACTGCTGTGGCGGGGACACCTGAGGACAGGTAGATGGCTCTGAGAAAGGCCAGCCAGCACTGGCTCCCCTTGCCTCTCCAGCCTTGTCCCGAGAGCTTACGTTTCACTTTTGCCAGAGGGAAATTTGGTCCCAGATGCTTGCTGCTTGCAGACCAGGAGGTTAATCTTGGGATGCTCTGCATGCCGCGCTGCCTCCTTCCCCACTTTCACCATGAAGCCGGCTCAGGCAGTGCAGCGTATCCCCTGGGAAGAGGGTTGCTCCATGTACGGCTCAGGCAGGCCAGCCGCTGGGGCAGATGCCACCTTGGAGGCCACCCACCCACTGAGCTGCGAGGATGGCAGCAAGAGCGCTGTCCAGGGACGTGCAGTGCTCTGCACGCTGCGTGCTGTGCAATGGCCTCTGTGTGCACCACGGGCATGCATGTACAGGGGGCTGCGCCTTGTCCCCCTGGCCTGTGGCACCCCGAGGGGTTGTGTGAGCGCACTGTGGGGCACCTGTGCAGCCGGTGGGGTGTGGACCCCCGTGTGCACGCCGTGTCCCAGTGTGTGTACAGTGTACACACCACAGGGTGTGTATATATATACACACGCGTGCGCGCACACGCAAGCTGGGATTACGACAACTGTCCTGTTGTGATGCAAAAAGCCCCAGCCTTGCAGATGAATAGCGCTGCAAGATGCCTCCTTGGATATTTTTATTGGTGCCAAAAATAGCCTCCCTCCCCTCCCCTCGCCATAGTCAGCCCCTCTGCCGGCTGTGCTGGAGCTCGTATCACGGACAAGAGAGGCTGCAGCAGCAGCAATTAGGATTCAAACAGCAGCCACCGACTCCCGCTTGGGGAGGAGGGTGATGGGGAGCAGAGCAGCCTCCGCTCAGGTCCCACTTTGCCCCACAACTCTGGCTGTCCTCCCTGCCTTGGCTGCCTGTGGAAATTTCCCAGAGCGGGCAGTGAAGACACCTGGGCACACGCAAGCAGCCGCAAGGTTCAGGCAGCATTCGCCCGGCTGCGGTCAGAGGGGTGACGTGCAAGGAGACGCAAGGCTGGGATGCAGGACACCTGGGCTCTCTGCCAGCCTCTGCACGTGCACTTGCTGCAGGAGCCGAGCCTGAGCCCAGCCAGTGCTGTGCCTCAGTTTCCCCCATGGAAAGGGGTCACACTATGTCACCTTTAGGGAAGCTTTGCCCAAGCATGTGAAACTTGACACTGAGATGCTCTCTGAGTGCATCACATCTCCTGTGAGACTGTGCTGACTGCTGGTGCTCAGTTTCCCCCAAAATGGCCCTATCCAGGGCACAAGAGGTTGTTCCTAGCAGGAAACCATGCATCCATGAGCCAGCAGCACCTCCCTGGTTCCAGGCACCCTGTGTCCCCACGCACTGGGCATCACGTCTGTGTTTAGGGACTCGGCATACCCAGGCAGACATGTGCTCAGCCGAGCACCTGCGTGACTCTCAAATTGGTATCATGCTTGCAGAGCCACCAGGTGCTGGGGAGCACGTCCCCAAACACAGGAACAGGGGGTGCCAATGCAGGTGGATGGAGGATGCCCCCCCTTGGGATAAAAAGCCTCTTGCCCCACTGATGTTGGTGCCAAGGGCTGTGCAGAAGGAGACCAGTGAGCAGGGAATATCACTCTCGGGAGCTCCTGTCCCCACCGCTCTGCAGAGGGTGAGAGGAGGAGAGAACTGCAGCAGGATGCTGCGTGCACTCGTGCCGAACGCACCACAGACCCCGCATAGCCCCTGAGCCCCGTCACCACCGCGTACTTGGCCACCCAGGAGCAGGGAGCCATGGGCACAGCCGCCCCTCGCGGGCCCCCCTCGCTTCCCGGCTTCCCTGTACCACGCGGTGCCGGCAGGGGCTGGCCGTCACGGAGCCCTGCTCGCGCCTCTCCACCCATTTGATGTCAGAGCCGCTCAGGTGCCGTCAGCCCCAGTGCCGGCATCGCGCTCGCCCAGGCACGGCAGCACCGGCAGGGCCAGGCCCCCAAGCTCCTGCCCCCAGCTGCGGCCCAACTGCACTGAGGGGTCCCCAGCTGCACCCCCGCCGGCTGCATCCCCCCCACCAGCTGCATCCACCGCGGCTGCACCGGCCCTCGCCGGCTCCTCTTGCCTGACCAGCTGCCGGGGGCATCATGAGGGACTCCTACACAGTGACGCTGCCCGAGGAGCCCCCGGCGCTCCCCGACCTTCACAAGGACCTGCGCCCCCGCACCTCAATGCCAGGCTCCTTGCTGGTCTCCACCTTCGTTGGGCTGGTCCTCAACAAGACCAAGGTAGGAGCCCTGCGAGCCCCTGACGAGCGACCCCCCCTCACCCCAGCCCTGACCCCAGATGGGGCATGGGGCTCGGAAGGAGGCTGCCCCTGCCCATGCCAGGCAGGATGGGGTGCCCCACAGCCCCAGCTCCTCCTCTGGGATCCCCCATGCTCCAGGATAGGATGCTGGGTGGGCATCCGTCCTTGCTTGTCCTGGGGCGGGGGCATCCCAGTGCAATGTCCAGGGGAGCAACAGGCAAGGGAAGCAAGGGAGCGCACACCCCATGGAGCAGGGACACACTCTGGCCAGGGTCCTGCCGTGTGTGCAGCTCTGGTGCCCAGGGAGCCCCCAGGGAAGACAGGCACAGCCAAGGGCTGGAGCGGAGGTGAAGGGAGCAGGGACAATTGGGTGCCAGGTGCTCAGGCAACTTGGCCCCAGTCTTCCCCCTGCAGTGACCTTGGCCAAATCCCTGTGCTCTGGCATTCTGCCCATTGCAAGAAGGACACTCGCGGACAAAGTTGCCCCTCTGCCCAGTGTCCTCAGAATGGGTGCAGAGTGTTCACGGCAAGTCTCCCCCCAGCAGAGACAAGAAGAAGGGCCGGGGGGCAGACAGAGGAGGATCCCAGCAGTTATGTAAGCCTGGCAGCTCTGGCTCTCCCATTCCAGCATGAATGAGCACTTGCACGTGGGAACCCTGACAGCAGGACCATCCGATTCCTGCCCCCAAGCCCTGTCTCCCGTCCCCTCTGCAGCACAGCCTCAGGGACTGCCCAGCCACCGCCGCGTGAGCTTGCTCTTCTTCGCCGCCTCTGAGCAGCGCCGTGTCCTAGATAAAGCCCCGGACGAGCGAGAGGGATTAGCTGGAGTTGAGTCACTGAGGAGAGGGAAAACATGGGGGAAATAAGATCTAGGTAGAGGCACCACAAGGTGCCTCGAGGTGTGTGCACCTAGGCTCTGTCTAGGGGGACACGGGAAGGTGGCACTGGAGGAGAGCGGGGTACATGGACATGGCAGCAGGCACTCTGGCAGAACGCTCTTCACTGCCCGGATGAGATGACCGTACGAGCCATGTCACATCCCGGACAGCTCCTGGGAGCTGATTCCCAGTCTGACTCTGCAGCTACCTCCAAGTCCAGGGATCAGGAGGGATGCTTGATGCTTTCTGCATGGCCCCTCTGGCTCGGCCCAGCAGCCTTGGAGCACCCCTGGAAGCAGCCTGGCCACGCAGGAACATGCTCCCCCATGAGACACTTTGCTTTCCTAGGAAAGCTGCAAGCCCCCATTCAGGGCCGCGGGGGTCCCTGCTGCATCCCAATCCCCCCGCCGGCGGGTGATGACTGCGCCGTCGCTAAGGAGCGCGTGTAACCGAATCTGGGTTATTTTGGGCTGCTGTCAGGGCTGGGTGCTCAGCACCTCCCACACACACACACACCAGCTGCTGCTATTTCGGAGCTGCCGGTCCCCCATCCCTCTTCTCCTTCTCCTCCTCCTGCCTGGGGCTGGCAGCCAGGGTGTTGAAACTTGGTCAAGCTCGGTGGCCCCGTCATCACTTTGACCCTGCAAGCCAAGTTGGCCCCCAACATCCTGCTCATGGCTGTGGGGAAGCTTGTCCCACTGCTGCCCTCCACATGGGGCTCATAGGCAGATCCAGGCGCCTACATTCCTGCCGCACCAACTAGGAAGGAATTTGCAACACTGAGGCCTCCCCAAAACACCAGCAGTGCTCTTGCAGCCTCCAGCAAGAAGTGCCGGGCACACACAGCTGCCCAGGTCCATCTCTGCATGGGGCACAGGCCAGTCCGGGTTGGGGCACAGCCCGAGGACACCAAGGTGCCTCCATCGTGCATGCATAGTCCAGCCAGGCAGCACTGCGGGGAGCAGGGCCCAGAGCATGCCAGCGTGGGCCAGCTGCCATGAGGCTCCACTTCCACTTTCTCTGGTGGACTTTACCCCACAAAAGAAAAAAAAAGGCCATGCCGAAGTCCAGGCTGCATTTGTGCCCAGTGAATGCGGGCAAGGCACTGTGCACGTCCTGCCGGCACCGGCCGCAGTGCGTGGCAAGGGGCAGCATTGCAGCTGTGCGGGAAGGACTTTGAGCCCTATGCACTGTCCGGGGAGCTGAGAAGCCCCAAACTGGCTATTGGGACGGGGCTGTCCAGCAACGTCTGCACGCTCACCCAGGCTCCGTGGTGCAGTGGGGCTGGCAGGAGACACTGTGCATGCGGGCCAGAGCCCCTCTCACCCCCCACTCCCTCTCTCTGCAGAACTCCAAGGTGGTGCAGGGGCTGACCGGCCTGCGCAACCTCGGCAACACGGTGAGTACTGGCCCCGGGCACACTCTGCTCGGCAGGTGCGTGAAGCCGCTGCCCTGGCCCCTGCTCGCTGCAGCGAGGCAGCTGCACCCGTGCAGGGAATTGGACTCCTCACGCCATCCCTGTGCCCTGCCCGCCCACCCCGGCATCCCCCCCGCCCGCCACCACCTGCCTCCCGCTGCCTCCGTTGCCATGGTTTTCCTCTCTGCCTCCCCCAGTGCTTCATGAACTCCATCCTGCAGTGCCTGAGCAACACCAAGGAGCTGCGGGATTACTGCCTGCAGAACCAGTACCTGCGGGACCTCAACAACAGCAGCCGCATGCGCACCGCACTCATGTCCGGTGAGCACCATGCCATGGGTCCTGCTGCCCTCCTTATGTGCCCTGGGGATCCCCATCCCTCTCGCTTGCCCTCAGCAGCTGTGGGCAGTGTTGTGCTGCGTTCCCTGATCTGGTCATCCTGCTAAGAGACCCCTCTGCCTGCAGAGTTTGCCAAGCTGATCCAGCTGCTCTGGACCTCATCTCCCAACGACTCTGTGAGCCCCTCTGAGTTCAAGACACAGATCCAGCGATACGCTCCCCGCTTTGTTGGATACAAGTAAGGGGATTCTGGCGGTACTGGCAGGGCAGGGGCCAAACCGCGCACGGCTGCTCACTGCCATGCCCCGTGTCTCCTGCAGCCAGCAGGATGCCCAGGAGTTCCTGCGCTTCCTCCTGGATGGGCTGCACAGCGAGGTGAACCGCGTGCTTGTGCGCCCACGGGCCACTACGGACACCCTGGACCACCTCCCGTAAGTGGCAGGCTGGTAGTGGGTTGGGAGGCAGACACCGGTCATCCCCATGGATAAAGGCACCACACTGTCAGTAAGGTGGGACCTAGGACTGCGATGGGACTCCTCACCCCTCTGTCTCCCCATCTCCCCCAGGGATGATGAGAAGAGTCGGCAGATGTGGAGGAGATACCAGGAGAGAGAGGACAGCCGGATTGGGGGTGAGTGCCAGACCTGGGAAGGGAAGTGGAGCTGTGAGGAGGAAGCACAGGGCGGGCAGGGGACCGCAGTGGGAACTGGGGGTGTCTCATCCCTCCTGGTCCCCCCTAGACCTCTTTGTCGGGCAGCTGAAGAGCTCGCTGACCTGCGGTGAATGTGGCTACTGCTCCACGGCCTTTGACCCCTTCTGGGACCTGTCCCTACCCATCCCCAAGGTAGGATGGCCCCAGCCCCACGTGTGTCCCTACTGTCCCCCACATGTCCTGACCCAGCTCTGTGCTCCCACAGAAGGGCTACGGTGAGGTGACCCTCATGGACTGCCTACGACTCTTCACCAAAGAGGATGTCCTAGATGGAGACGAGAAACCGGTACGGGCTACAGGGATGGGAGCCCTTGCCTTGGACTCAGCTGGGCCCATTCCCCTTGGTTCCACATACCAGGGCTCTAGTCTCAGTGTCCTGCATGGCTCGTTGTTCCCAGGCCCCTGCTCATGTGGTTTATCTCCTTCAGACATGTTGTCGCTGCAAAGCCAGGACAAGGTGCACAAAGAAATTCAGCATCCAGAAGTTCCCCAAGATCCTGGTGCTTCGTATCCTTCAGACTAGGGCACGGGGCCAGGGCTGGTGGTACTGGTGTCAAGGTGGAGGTCTGAATGCTCCTGGTCCCCTTTGCTGCCTGGTTCCTTGACACCTATCCTGCAGACCTGAAGCGTTTCTCCGAGGCCAGGATACGGACGAGCAAGCTCACCACCTTCGTCAACTTCCAGCTGAAGGACCTGGACCTCCGGGAGTTCGCCTCGCAGAGCTGCAGTGAGTGCTGGGCCTGCATGGCTCTGGGATGGGGTCCCTCACACCCACCCATGACCCTGCAAACAGGAGAGAACATGTCTTAGCACGAGATGCTCGTGTGCTGATCCCCTGGGGATCCCCATCAGCACATGGTGGGGAGAGGGGACATGATGTGAGGAATGGCCAGGGTTTTTCCTGGATCCCACAGAGGAAGACATAGGGGAAATACCATTACCACTGAGTGCCCCCCTTGTACCCCGCAGACCACGCTGTTTACAACCTCTACGCTGTCTCCAACCACTCCGGCACCACCATGGGAGGACACTACACCGCCTACTGCAAGAGCCCCGTCTCCAGCGAGTGGCACAGCTTCAATGACTCCCGGTGAGGCCATGGAGGTGACAGGGAGGGTCAAGGGAATGGTGCCGTGGGGCTGGAGAGGGGTGACTCCCCTGCAGCTGGCATCACCCATGTTGGGTGCCCCCATGGCGAGGATGCTCCCCACCACTCACATCTCCCTGCTTCTCCGCAGCGTCACCCCCATGTCGTCCAGTCAAGTCCGCAGCAGTGATGCCTACCTGCTCTTCTATGAGCTGGCCAACCCCTCGTCCCGCATGTAGCCGGCCTGGCCGTCCCAGGGAACCCCCACACCGACCACGGCCATGCGGACAGAGACCCACATGGCGATGGTTGAGAAGCGGAGCCCCAGGGACAAGGACTCTGACACTGAACTGAGGAGAGCAGCCTGTGGCAGGGCAGGGCCCAGGCATCTCAGGCATCTCCTGGTCACTGGCATTTGATTCTCCCTTTGGGGTTGGTTTTCTTTCTTTCTTTCTTTCTCCTTTTTCTTTTTCTCTGCGTGTAATAAAAGCACTGAGCAGGGGACTTGGCAGGCACGGGGCCACCTGCCCCACTGACTTGGCTTGGACTGCTGCTCCCACCGGGAGAGCTGGGGACCCAGGAGCACCTCCTTTGCTCCCCTTCAGCTTGGTCATCCCAGATGAATCACAAGCTGCTGCCAGCACTTCCAGACCACTTGGCGAAGAAACCCAGCCTCCGTCCTGGGGTGCATGGCCCCAACAGCTGCCCTCCTGGCACCCCTTGAAGCTGCCTGGATCTAGGCTGAAAATCTCAGAGAGGAGGAGGAGGGTGAAAAAAAAAAAAAAAAAAAAGAACATTTTGTGGAGTTTATTTGTATTTATAATGGACTTTTCTGACCCCAAGCACCCCCTGCTTCCCAAAACTGGTGCAGGGGCACATTTTGGGTGGGTTTTTCCTGCCTCCTCATATGACGGTGCCTTAAACCATTCAGGGGGTGGGAGGCCATCAGGGCTGCCCAGCTGCGTCCATCCTGGTAGAGGGGATGTAGAAATGGCAGTGGGAACCATCTGCTCCTGGGCTTCCTCCTCCCTGTGGCCACCAGCCTCCTGGATGCCCATCCCCGCCAGCCCCACTGCTCTCTCCTCCAGCTAGCAAATGCCAGTGGCCTTTTTAGCCTTTTCTCTAATTTATTCACCTCCCTGTCCTGCCCTGGCCAAGGCACAGCAGGAGGGGAGGTCACCCAACCCACATTGCCCCACACCAGCCTGCCAAGGGCAGCTCCATCCCACCGAGCTGCCCTCCAAGCCTGGCATGGGGCTCGGATGGAGCGGTGAGCGGTGCCAGCATGGAGCCACGCTGCTGGCAGGCAGGCCGCTTGTTTACTGTGTAAGCAAGGTGGGCAGCGAGCGTCTCGTGCAAGGGACATGCGTGTGGGAATAAATATGAGCTTGTACCAAGACTTGTGTGGATGCATTTGTCTGCAGAACAGCTGCAGGAGGGAAACGGAGGGTTGTCCGAGGCCGGGGAAATAGGGCTTGAGGGGCACACTGTCCCTCGTCTCCATCTGCCCAGGGGCTGTGGAGCCTTCCCTCCACCTCAGCCATCCAGGAGGGCTGGAGGGGCCAGCGCTACCCCAAAGCCCTCAAACTAAGATCCCTTTTTGCCCGCTTAGGGCACCAGGGCTGGGTTCCAAGGCATTAAGGGTGCAGGGGGTATGCAAGTGCCTGGGCACACACGCCCTGTGCTGAGAGGGACCAGGGACATGGGGGCAAGACCAGCCCCTGTTCCCCCGGCCTCTGGGGAGCCTGGGGGCACCAAGCAAATCCACATTCTCTTCACAGCCACTGCTTTCCTGGCCCCTGGGTTTCTGCTTCTGCAAGGCCACCTTGCAAACGTCATGCAGAGGGGTTTGCCGGGCCTCTGCAGCCCCCCACGCCCCTGCCAGACCCCTGCCCCACAAAGTGCCCCATAGGACTCCTAGCACTACGCCTTCCCCTTTAAGACGCTGGCTCTCTGTGCCAGGGTCGGACCTCGGCATCCTCAGCTGAGTCGGATTAAGCGGGGGATGAGGGAAGGGGCCGGCGGAGGGGCCCTCTGGAGCTGTTCTCTTCCCACAGGGTTGCTCACAGGCATGGCTGTCAGGTCCCAGCACAGGCAGGTGCCAGGTACGTAGGCACAGCCAGAGCCACCTGCATCCCTCCTTGGGCACAAGGATCTCCAACAGAGCACAGCAGACCACCCCCCAGGACTGATGGCAGCCAGGGAGGAGGGGATGGCAGGACTGGTGGCCGTGCTGGGCAGCAGCTTGCACCGAAAAGGCTTTTAACCAGGTGGCAACGGCACTTGCCTGTGGCCATGAGAGACTTTGAGGAGATCACGCTATGCCCTGAGGCGCTGGACTGCAGCAAGGTAAGGCAGAGGGCAGCCTAACATGGCCACAGTGGGAGTACCCCCCAAATCCCCACAGTGCCATCACTCTTTTGCAGACCGAGTTCTGCAACCCTGTCTTTGAGGGCAAGGAGACTCCAGCAGCATCACCTACTGAGCACCCACCCTGTGGACAAGAGGACTTGCCCCAGAACCACCCTGAGGGTGTGTACGCGCACCCACGTCCATGGTAGCATGGTGCCAGTGGGTCCTGGTGGGGAGAATCGCTCAATGCCAGAACGTGAGGCAGCCTAGGGCCCCTGCACCACCTCGGGGATGGGATGAGTGGCCGTGGCCTTCTTAGCCAGACACACGAGCAGGTGGCAGATCCAGGCCTGGCTAAGTTGCATGCTGCTGTCTGGGCATCCACCTTGCCCACCCTCCTGCAGGCCAGCGGCACTGGGGCCACTACCGATCCGACTGCAGGTTCACCTGGCTCTGCGTGGCACTGATGAGCGCCCTGCTGCTCTTCCTCATTGCCCTTCTGCTGGGCATTGTCATCCACCGTGAGTGCCAGGGTGGCAAGGCCTGTGCCACCGCAGCAGGGATGGGGCAGGTGGGGAGGGATCCAAGGGAGAATGTGGGAAAGGAGAGCTGAGCCAGGGACGGGATGTGTGGCAGCAAGTGCACAACACTGTGGGGTCTCCCAGAATGTACTTGCCATGGGGAGAGGGATCTAGACTCCACATGGGATGCTATGGGCAGTGGCGTAGAATTCCCTGGGCTCCATGCACACAAAGCGGGAGCAGGCAGTGGGGTTTCTAAACCCCATTCCACTGCTCTTCCCCTTTGGAGCAGAGCTCAAGTCCCCACAGCTGCCTGGCTCGCCGGGCGCAGCTTTGCCCGCACACAGCATTGCCAACACCAGCACGGCACCTGCCCGCCAGGACCCTGCAGCCCCCGAAGCTACGGCCACCCCAGCGCAGAGCCAGGCACCCACGGCCGGCACGCCGACGCCGGGTAAGTCACCGGCGCGGGGCAGCAGCCTTGCTTGGGCACCCCAGGGCTGCCGCCCCGCCAGCTGGCTGTGCTGCCTGTGCAGCTTGTGGTGGGACCCTGAGGGGTCCCGAAGGCACCTTCAGCTCGCCCAACTACCCGTCGCCCTACCCACCCAATGCCCTGTGCGTCTGGCACATCGAGGTGGCGCCAGGCCTGGGCATCCAGCTGCGGGTGGAGGCGTTCAGTGTGGAGGGCACCGCGTCCTGCCTCTTTGACCGCCTGGAGCTCTACGAGGAGCCCTCGGCCGATGGTAGTACTGGTGCCCCGGCTCGGGGCGGTATGGCCAGGTAGGCAGAGGATGGCGCAGCAGAGGGGATGGGGGTACCATGGGGGTACCAGCTTCCCCCCGCTCTGCGCAACCAGGTTTTGTGGCACCGTGGCACCACCGACCTTCAACACCGATTCCAACCAGCTGCGGGTCACCTTCGTCTCAGACAGCAGTGTGGGTGCTCCAGGCTTCAGCGCCCACTACCGCGCCGTGGCCCCCAGTGAGAGTGAGTAACCCCATGGGTGCCTGCACGGGGTCCCCCCTCGTGCCCAGGGTGCCGCTGACAGCTTGTCCGCGCGTGTCCCCCCTGCAGAGAGCTGCGCCTGGGATGAGCACTTCTGCGACCGAGGGCTCTGCCTGCAGCCGGGCTTCGTGTGCGACGGCTTCCACGACTGCGCCGACCGCAGTGATGAGGCCAACTGCAGCCTGAAGCACAAGGGTGGGCTGCTCTCGTCCCCTGCGCCCCGGGCCCTGCGAGCATGGCTCAATGGCACAGTGTGGGGAAGTGGGAAGGGGTGAAAGGAAAGGGTGTAGGGGGAGAGAGTGACTCTGTGTGTGTCTGTGTGTCTCCTCTAGAGTGCGGGGGGCCGCTGACTGCCTTGGAGGGACATTTCTCCACCCCTAGCCATCCCCACCCATACCCACACCAGCAGGTGAGAGCAGGGGTGTTGATGCAGGAGGAGGAAGAGGGCAGTGCTGGGAGGAAGGCAGACTCCCACCATGTGGTGGGGGGAGCCAGCGTTGTCCGTGACCTGCTTAATGGGTCTTGCGGGCTGCCTCCTGCCCTGCAGCTCTGTCTCTGGCAGATCTCAGTGCCCCTGGGCCACATCATCGACCTGCACTTCCACAACTTCAGCCTGGAGCCACACGAGGACTGCAGCTTTGACTTTGTGGAGGTGCACGACAGTGCAGGCACTGGGGCCCCCAGCCTCATGGGCAGGTATGGGCACAGCACCAGGGGAGAACTGAAGCACGGGACAGGACGGCAGAGTGGCGATAGCGCCTTTGGGGCTCCACTGGCTGCCCTGACCGTCCCTCACTCCCGTCCTCCACAGGTTCTGTGGCCACCAGTTGCCACCCGTCCTGACCTCCTCACGGCATGTCATGACCGTCCTCTTTGTGGCAGACGAGGGGGTGGCAGATGATGGGTTCTTTGCCACCTATCAAGCCCGCAACGCCACAGAGAGTAGGTAGCCCAGCCAGGAAGCGAGTGGCCTGGAGAGGTTCAGCTGTCTGCATCCTTAATGGCTCTCAGCCTGCACAAAGCCCTGCGCAATATGGTCTAAGCCCAGAGCTCTACCTCGGGTAGAGACCTCCTAAGCAATCTTCTCACCCAAATTACGCTGGTCCTAGCTATGGGGGCACAGGTACCATGACTCTCCTGTCTTGCTGCTTCATCAGACTTGCATACAGGCAGGAACTGTTATCCTCGTGGGAATTTGAGTTCTCCTGAAGGGGTGATTATGGGGAGCGGGTGGCTAGCAGGGGGACAGGCTAACTCTGCTCTCGGCTGGGCCCCCTCTCCTGACAGAGACCTGCAGCCCGGCGGAGTTCTCCTGTGGGAACGGTGAGTGCCGGGCACTGGAGTCCGTGTGTGATGGCTGGCACGACTGCCCTGACGGAACCGATGAGCTGAACTGCACCGGCGTGTCCTATCCAGCCTTTGGTGAGTGCCAGTCCCAAGGAAACTAGTCACCAGTGCACAATGCTCCTCTGCCCCAGGGGTGTCCCTCTGCAGCCCCCATTGCTCCCAGGCTGTTTTGCACCAAATGGGAGTGAACCTGGCCAAGCCCAGGACCTGTGGCACATGCGGTGGGCATCACTCCCCCTGCAAGAAGTGAAGCCCCTCTCGCCCTACCAGAGTCTGTCTGTGAGCCCCTGGAAGTGGAGATGTGCCTGGGCCTGAGCTATAACACCACATCCTTCCCCAACATCTGGCTGGCCATCCCTGACCAGGCGGGAGCTGCTGAGATGCTGCAGGACTACCAGGTGAGGGGGCTGGGGGCCGGGCACGGGGGTCCTGCCACCCCATTGCACTCACAGCCGCTCTTCTGCAGACCCTCATGGAGCTCGCATGCTACCAGCACCTACGCCCCCTCATCTGCAGCCTCTTTGTGCCCAAGTGCACACCGGACGGCGGCGTCCTGCAGCCCTGCCGTGCCGTGTGCTTGTCTGCCGAGCAGCGGTGCCAGCAGTCCCTCGGCCTCCTTGGCATCCTCTGGCCCATCAACTGCAACATCCTGCCCGACTCCAGAGACCCTGTGGAGTGCTTCCAGCCCTGAGGCGCACCGAGGAGGGGAGCGGGACTGAAACAGGGTGCTCAGAGCTGCTCCTGCCCCTGAGAGATCTCCCCTCCTCCTCCAGTTGCAAAGGGGCGGTTGAGCTGCTGGGGTGACACCAGCACAACCCTATGAGCAGCACAGTGCTGCAAAAGTTCTGCTTGTGGTGGGAGATGTGCAGATTAAACAGCAGGAGCAGTTGACAAACACTGTGGGTCCAGCAGTTCCTTTGAGGAGGGTCTGTGTGGGGATCCTGCTTTGGGAAGTGGGGAAAAAGAGACTCTGGCCAAGGCAGGAAGCTAGGACTTGTGTGGGACTCTGGGCAGCAGGAGTGGGGCAGGGAGACAGCCCCCATTGTGGATGGCTATGATGCAGATGGGCCAAGGGTGTTGCCTTGCCCAGAGGGGTGCGTGGGGCTCAGTGCGGGTCTGGATGGTGCCTGGGACATGGTCCCTCCCCAGTGCAGTCTGTGGCGCTGCTGCCGGCTGTGCTGGCACCCGTCAGCCTGGCTGGCCACAGGCCTGGCATTATCCCGTGCCCACAAACCAGCACCCAGCTGGCCAAAAACAACAGCGTCTTCTCACCTTGGGAGAGAGCAGCAGCCGCGGGCATCCGGGGCATCCAGGGCTGCAGACACTGCCACTCGCAGCATGCCAAGCGCCCTGAGCGATGCCGGCGTGGTTCCCACTGCCCTCTGCCTGCCCCCGGGCCCGGACACGTGGAAAAGGCTCCTGCCTGGCTCTGAACAGCTGAACATAATGGGAAAGGGAGTTTGCTCTGTTTGCTACTGCTCTGCCCTGGCAGCTATCACAGCATAGCCATACCTCGAGGTCAGGCACGGAGGGCTCATCCTGCTGCATGTCCTGGCTTCTTCCAGAGCTGATTGCAGGAATGCGGGACTCCTTGGCCACAGGACACTCCCAACTACTCAGCGCCTGACACTGTCCCTTGGACGCACTTGGCACTGGGACAAGTTAAAGGCTGCGAGTGTCTGCAAAAGCGCTACATCAGCCAGCCCTGCTGCATGCCCCACAGCCCCTCTGGGGCTGGGCTTCCTCCTGTCCCGGCCCTGACGCTGCTCCACTTATATCTGCATCCATCTGCTGCTGCCTGGCCCCTTACTGCCTGCTCAGCATCCCAGCCCTGCTCCAGACCCCCCACACCCTCTTCTTGCAGCTCTCAAAGCATGCATTTGCAGGGCTGGAGTTTCCCAAGCTTCTCCTGGAGAGTTGGAGAGCAGCTTGAGAGCTCCCTCCCTCTTATTTCCCTTCCTTCTGCTTCACCCAGTGGCCTCTCTTTTCTTCTTGTTTCCCCTCCCTACATCCTCCTGCCTGGGTGTCCAGATGTGCTTTACGGAGGTGTTTTTCATCCTACAACTTCCCTCCTTCCGATCGACTGTTTGTCTCGCTCTTCCTCCCCCTGCTTACAGCACTTCTGACACCACAGCATTATTTTTCTTTTTTCCCCTTGTCTTGTAGCTTTTGGCTCCCAAGGCCCCTGATTTCCTCTGGAGTTTGGGAGGAGAGACATGAGGAGGAGGGGGGGTGGAGAGGCTGCCTTTCCTAGGGCCTTCGTCAGAGCAAAGCGGTCAGGAAGAGCCCTTCGGAGACGGAGAGGAGTGAGGCGCCGGGAGCAGAGGAACCGGGATCTCGGTGAGTAGGGAGAATCAGCTGCACATCCTGTGTGCCAGGGGCCTGGGGCTGGCCTCAGCTCGGGGGCAGCTGGGGTCCTGGCTCCAGCGCCTGGGCGGAGGAGAGACACTTTTCTCCTCCTTTTCCTCTTTGCTGCAGCCGTCATGTCCAGGAGGGGGAAGAGAGAGGCTCTGCCCGGCCAAGGCCTTAGGGAGGGGGCCATTGCCGTCCCCGGGGCTCGGCTGTCTCTGCACCGGCACCGCTGGGGGCAGCTGTGCAGCACGGTGGTCCCAGCACCGCAGCAGTCCCTGCACGCTGCGGGATGCTCCAACCCCAGGGACACGGCCTGCAGCTGGGTGCAGAGCGGAGGCGCCGGCCGCTGGGCTGCTGCCAAGCACAGGGCCGTGCTGCAGCCCGGCGCTGCCGCCCCGTGGCAAACGCCTCATGCCATGCCTGGCCCTGCATGCAGACAGAGCCTGCTTTGCGGCTCGCAGCTCCCCTTTGCAGTGCAGCAGCCTCATGCGCCCTAGCATGCATGTGTGCACGAGCCGTCCCGTGGCTAGTCCACGGCAGAGAGCCCTTGGGCTGCAGGACAGGCCCATGGGGTGCTGCGTGGCTCAGCAGGTTGCAGGATAGCCTCGCGAGGTGCAGAATGTCCAGGAGGGTTGTGGGATGTGGGATGAAGGCAGGCAAGATGTCCTGAAGGGATGCAAGCACAGGCAGATCCAAAAGACGCTGCAGGAGGTGGAGCCGATGGCACCTAGGCCATGACATGAGGTGCTACTGAAAGGCGGAAAGAAGGAAGGAGTTGTGTGCTGGCGCAGCTGGTGCCCTGTCCCCAGGCACTGCCAGCCACTTTCCCAGGCCTCTTCACAGGGGTCTGCAGAGCTGTTACCCTTTCTGCTCTCTTTCCAGCCCCTCCATGGCCGACAAGATGAAGCAGCTCTTCCTCCTCTACCTCTTTGGGTTCATCGCTCATTCTTCCGAGATTGAAGACAACAAAATCCCCAGGCTCTGCTCGGGACAGCCAGGCATCCCAGGCACCCCAGGCCTGCACGGGGGCCAGGGGCTGCCAGGCAGAGATGGACGAGATGGCCGGGATGGGGCAATGGGGATACCAGGCGAGAAGGGCGAGATGGGCCCTCCTGGTAAGGAAGCGGAGGAAAATTGGGAGGAAAATCCCAGCTTTTAGGCCCTGCTCCCACAAAGTGCACATTTCAAACCACTGCCTCCCTCCAATCCCTGCAGAAATACCCATGGTGGTCTCTGCATTTCTTCCCATTCCTGTCAGCCATTCCTCTTGCCCGGATCTGACTGCACCGCCTGCTCTTTGGGGTTTCCCTCACCTTCCTAGGTCTTTCCTCACCTTGCCATTCCCACCATGGTCCCCAGATAGCATGTGCCCCTGGTTCCCTCCTGCTTTAGCCCCGTTCCCTGGTCATGGTGACATCCACCACCCACCTATCACACTGGTTGGTGATCCCCATCCCTAGTGATGTGGCATAGGGTGCGTGGCACTCAGAGGGCTTCCCCAAATGCTCCCGTACAAGACCAGGGCCGGGTTGGAGGGCACCGCTGGCCACAGCTCAGTGCTGATGCTCTCCCTCTGCTCTGTCTCCAGGCCCCCCTGGCCCCCGCGGGGAGGTGGGCAGCCCCGGTGTGGACGGCCTGCACGGTGAGAAGGGCGCACAGGGCGAGTGTGCAGTGGCCCCTCGATCGGCCTTCAGCGCCAAGCGCTCCGAGTCGCGCAGCCCGCCGCTGGCCGACCAGCCCATCCGCTTCGATGTGGTGCTCATCAATGAGCAGGGCCACTACGACCCCGCCACGGGCAAGTTCACCTGTGAAGTGCCCGGCCTCTACTACTTCGCCGTGCACGCCACCGTGTACCGCGCCAGCCTCCAGTTCGACATTATGAAGAACGGCCAGTCTGTGGCCTCCTTCTTCCAGTACTACGGGAACTGGCCCAAGCCCACATCGCTCTCAGGGGGCACCCTGGTCCGCCTGGAGCCCGAGGACGAGGTGTGGGTGCAGGTGGGTGTCGGGGACTACATCGGCTTCTACGCCAGCGTCAAGACTGACAGCACTTTCACCGGCTTCCTCGTCTACTCCTACTGGCAAAACTCTGCCGTCTTCGCATGAGCCCTTGCTGCGCGCCCCTTCCCTTGCTGTCGTGCTGAAACCAGGGCTCAGCCTCAGCCCGTGTTACAGCAGGGGAGTAGGACCGCAGGGTCCCTGCCCCGGCTCCGCTCGGCCACCCCGCCTCAGGCAGAGATGTGGAGCCCCAGCCGCCCTGGCAGCGGCGGCAGGACAGTCCTTCCAGCAGCGCTGTATCCAAGCAAAGTATTATCTTATCTCGGGGGCCCCACGGCACCCCATAACCTGGATGCCTTATGTTACTCACCATACCCTGCAGCAGCCCCCGTGGTGCCAGACCAGCTGCCCAGACCTTGCTGCCAGCGCGGGGCCCGTCCTGCTGGGCTCTGGCTCAGCCCAGGCTCAGCAGCTCCCGGGGGTCTGGCTCCCTGCCCTCCCACCTCCTTCTCCTTCGGCCCTCAATAAAGGGGTGCTCAGCTGTGCCCGTGCCTGCTGCCTGTGCCTTCCTGTCCCGTGCATGCACCAGTGCAGGGGTGCATGCTCCTCTCAAACCCAGGGCGCTGCTCGGGGTCGCTGCAGCCCCATAGGTGCTCCGGGCTGGGAGCCAGTTTGCGTGGAGGCCCCAAGGACAGGGGCCAGGCCAGGGACTGGGTGTCCTGGGCCACTCGCACAGCCAGAGAGAGGCCACTAGATGGAGGTGTTGGAGTCTCTCGTCAAGGCTCACGCCGCATCCAGGCTCCCCTCCTTGCTGCCTTCCCGGCCAGCGCCTCCATGGGGACATTGGCAAGGCCAAGGCCACGGCTGCCATGGGAAGATGCCACCACGGGGAGGAAGCAGGCATCCCAGCTCCATGAGGACAAAGCCTGTCCTGACAGCCTGATGGGTGCAAGGGGCACATCCCCATGAGGGCCACCCCGCGGGACCTGCCGTGCCAGGGCTCTCCGTGGGGAAAACCAGGGATTTGTGGGGCCCCAGCTTCCTTGCTTACTTCCCAGCCCTGCTCACCAATGTGAATGTCATGACCCAGCTCCGAGAAAGGTCCCTATTTTTAGCAAGGGAATGAAGAGCTTCCTCATTCCTGCCCAAAATAGGTCCCCGTGGAGTTAAGCCAGGGAGGGTCTTTTGGCTGAGGCTCAGCACTGCGGCTGCAGCAGGCCAGGGACGACTGCGCTGCCTGGCCGTGGGGTGGCAGCTGGGCCGGGCTGTCCCCTGCTTTCATGGATGGGCAGACGGCAGCAGGATACTGGCCGTGCTCCTCCAAGGTGAATATGTGCCCCTGGCCCTGCTGCGAGCCCTGGGCAGCAGCTTGTAGCTCTGCACCCCTGCCTGGGGCCAGGACCTGCCCAAATGTTTGCCTGGCTGCAGGGGACGGGGGGGACCCCCGAGGTCACCTGAGGCCAGGGTGAGGACTCGCTGCCGTGGGGGTGTCAGGCAGCAGCCCTGCAGCCTCCCCTTCCCAGCGGCATTGTCGGCAGGATTAGCTTACAGCGGAAGCGTCTGTTTGGGTTGGAGCCGGCCTTTTCTGTAAGCAGAGCCGCCCAGGGGCAAGCACAGCGGCGCAGATGGGCGGCAGGCGCTGTTTATTCTGCGAGGAGGGAAGCGGCGTTTTGGGAGGGAAGCCAGTGAGGTGTGCGGGGGGCTGGGCGCACCGCCGCGCAGGCAGCCCACGGAGCTAATGAGGGAGCCAGGCCGGTGCCGGGAGCAGCCCAAAGGCTCCCCGCGGCTCCTCGGCAGATCGCAGCCTGCTCCTTGCCGTGGCATTAGCTGCTCGCCCTGCCGGGCCCAGCCGCAGCCTGCCGTGCGTCTGCCGTGTCCGCCTGTCCCGCCAGCTCCCCGCTGACAGGCAGGCGATGGCCATTGTCCCTGCACGGCAGCTCATTACGCCGGGCTGACAAAGACATCCCGGCTGCTTCCCGGAGGCCGCGGGGCTCCAGCTGCAGCAGACCACCAGTCGCCGCCAGCCCCATGCTCCTGAAACAGAGCAGCCCAGCAGCAGCAGCCACTTCTCCCTCCTGGCAGCAGGACTGCAGTAGGGCAAGAGCCCCAGCATGGTGCTGGGCTGATATCAGCCAGCTCAGTTCACATGTCCTGGGGCAGATCAGCAGCTTCTACCAGCTGGAGCAGAGGGGCTCCAGCACCATGGAGGGAGGAGGTACCTGCCATGGGGGAAGTAACTGCTGGGAGGACCCTGCTTTCGCTGCACGGACAGTGCCAGGCAGCGCATCTTCTGCAGGAGATGTCTGCATCTTCCCAGCCTCCCAGCAGCCCCTCCTCGCTGTGCTTTTCAGCCAGGACATGAGAGGATCCTAATAAAATTACCTAGTTACCCAACATGACTCGGCAAAGAGGTGATTTGGGGGAAGGATGGGGGTGGGCTCCTGGCCATCTGGGTTGAGAAGCATTTTCCAAGTGATTTGCAAGGATGCTGGGGAAGCAGAGGGTGCTTAATAGCATACAGCAGCCTGCCAAGATTTCAAACCACAGCCAGGAGATAATTCATCCTGCAGCGAATGCACCTGCTCACCTGGAGCCCAGCACAGCTGAGCCCTGTGATGCCTGCTCCACCCCTCCTAGTACTTCAGATGCTGCCCCCTTGTCCTGGGGGAGTGGGGTTTGCCAATACCTTCTGTCCCAGGCAGCAGGGCATCAAGACACTGCAGGCATGTGGGAGATGGGATTATGCTTACCCATATGTGTTCCTGCCAGCCTGGGAAATCTCATCTCTCCTGCTCTCAGTCCCAGGGATTGCCAGCACCAGCCCCGTTTCAGCACAAGGCATTGAGCAGAAAAAAAAAAGAGCCTCTGTTTTTACAAATAGAGGAGTTACTCCACACTCTTCAGCAAGCTGGACTAGGGAGTACAGGTAGGGAGGTTGTGTTGTGCTTATGAATTTGGGTGCAGCTGACTGCACCTGGGAGAAAACAGGAGAGGGCAGAGAGTTCCTTATCAGGGAACAACTGACCAGACAGGGGGAACATACCAAGAAGCAAGATGTCTTATGTGGGCTGAGAAGTCTGTAACTTCTGCGTACCTTAGCCAACAGGGTAAAGGAGAGGGCTACCTCAGTCAGGAAATTAGGATAAAAGGAGGCTGCGCCCTCCTGTAACGTCAGAATCCCACAGGTGTATGCTCTGGTGGTCTCTCCCTTTATTCGAATGAATTTTCAGGACTCCCGTCTCCCTTTTGGACATCTACTTTGTGACAGCGAGATTTCTGCACAGCGCAGACAGCAGTGTGGTAAGCAACGCTCCCTGCCCCCTTGCATGGCATGTTCCCAAGCACCTCCTGCAGGGTAGCAGGGCAAGGGCTGGGGCCTCAGGAGCCCCTCTGGCCCTGGCCGCAGGCAGCGTCTGCACACGCGGATCCCACCCTCGTGGGGCAGCAAGTCCCCTCCCGCACTGCAGCCCGGCTCCGGCTCCCTCACTCGTGCACACAGCAGAGCTTTCTGGGGACGTGGGCAGCACAGGCAGACCCAGGAGTCTGCAGGTTGTGCTGATCTCCCAGCTCCAACCCTTTGCGAGGAAGCGACCGTCTTCATCCGCACACCTGGAGCACAGGGACGAGCAGAGGTGAGACCCCGCAGCACGGGAGAAAACACCTCCCAAGAACGAGGCAGCAGGCACTTTGTGGGAAAGGAGACTTTAATCTGCCCAGTGTCTAGTCCATAGTGCAAAGAGTTAACCTTAAGGCAAAGCTTTCTCTCTCTGTTTATTAACAGCAAACAGACAAGCGTGACTGCTACAATAGAAACAGGGCTTGAGGGGGGAAACTGCAGTCCTGCGAAGGTGTCCTCCCTTTCCCCAAAACGTACACGGGGAGCCCTCTGTTTCAGCATCCACAAGCTGCCCTCTCGACCAAACGCTTCAGCCTGCAGCCAGGAGCACGTCCAGCACTTCCAGGTGTCCCCAAAGGAACTCAGCAGGTAGGGCTCGGCTGCCTGGCTCCTCTTGAGGCAGGACACCTGCACCAGCCAGGACTGGCTGCGGCAGGATCCCCAAGGAAGGTGCCCCCAGGGTTGTGCTCGCTGCTCTGGGGGCTCGGCCATCCCAGCCACAGGAGGAGTTGTTGGGAACAAGATCGTATCTTTTCCTTGTCACAGGTCAGGCCAGCAGTGAAGAGGCATCTCCCACCCTGGCCTGGCCCCGGTGCTGCCTCCTCGTGAACTTGGAGCACTCATCAGTAAACAGGAGCAGTGCGGAACCCGCAGCAGCCGCCTGCAGGCTCTCGGCTTGCGGTCTAAGAGTGGAGCCTCCTTCCAACTGAAATTGGGGCTGGAGCGTGGCTCAGCCCAAGCAGGCAGCTGGGAAAGGGAAAGCTTTTTAGTGCAAGGCCCTCTTGGAGCCCAGTAATTTCCTGGAATGGTGCTGGTTGACTAAGCTGGAATGAGCCACCTCAGCTCACTCCAGCCAGCACGATGGCATGGTTTGACTTATGGGGACATTTTTAAAAGTAAAATTAGTTGCTTTTCATATTTCAGACAGGCAGTAAGACAGAACAACAGTGTAACTTTGCTCCAATCAAGTACAGCTATGGTCCTGGTACTGCTGTGGCTCCACAGCACAGATGTTCTGCACTTGTACTGGGAGCTGGAATGTCTCAGTGGGTTCCCAGGAGGATTGGGACGTCCCCCCTCTCACTCTAGCCAGCCCTGCCCAGGGGGCAGCAAGCTTTGTCAGCCCTAGCCCGGGGAGCGGGCTTTAAAATGGGGATTATCTAGGGAGGATTCTCCAGCGTCAGCTCAGACATGCCCCGCTGCTGCCGAGGTTAGGCTGGGCTGTCTGTACAGCTCTGCAGGAGGAGTAACCCCCAGCCCCACGTGTGAATAACCTGCTATGTGCTTGCTGTTCTAGCAGAGGTGACGCACTGAGCTCTGCAGTCAGGCAGCCTGCGGGGAGACTGCATTCTCTGCAGCTCCTCACTCTCCCAGCACGGGAAAGATCGAACTCAAAGCCATAGCGGCCAGACCAGTGAAGAACAGCTGTGGCCCCGGAAATTCTGTTATTCTCCAGTTGGGAGCCCAGCTCACAGCTTTGGTAGTGAAGCCTACAAACTAGGGTGGACTTATGGCTTCCCTAAGGGTCTCCCAAAAGGGCCACACTTCTCCCTTCCCTGAGAGTTGGTTTAATGGGAAGGGCAGTAGGAATGGAGCCTGCCAAGCAGTTTTCAGGGAGCTCCCAGCCCAACCCTGATAGCAAACCTTCCTTTGCCTTCTGATTCCCAGAAGGGCACAGCTTCTAATCTTTCCATTAGCTTTGGCTAGGAGGAACCACCGCATCTTTCTGATATGGTATCAGCTTTGGATATCGACTTGCTGTAAGCTCAAGGCAACAAGCCATGGAACAGCAAAAGTCAGCGTAAAAAGGTAGCTCTTTTGGCCTGCTGCAGAGATCAGCCATTGTGCTTGTTAGCGACAGTTACAGGCTAGTTACATTACAAGTGTGGTTAACAGATACTCCAGCAGCCTCTTCCCTTCTCTGCACCATCCTTAGCTCTTTGGAAAACTCGAGGCAGTACTGGGAAGGGCGAAACTGCTTCCAGACAAGAGGAAGCAACAGAGATGGTCCTCGACCTTGTGGAAAAAACACTCAAGCCACCTGCTCCTGGGTTCACAAGTACACATTGAGTGTCTGCAGGATCATCTGGCGACACAGAGGGCAGTTGCGCTGGTAGATGGCCTGCTGGAGCAAGACTTCCGTGCACTCCTGGCACAGGCACAGGTGCCTGCAGGGCAGGAGCAGGACTGTCTTGGTTTGATCTTGACAGATGACACATTTCTTACGTTCTTCTTGCTCCTTCAGGAGCACCCAGGGGTCATTGTCCGGAGCAGCCTCACCATCCCCAGCTGCTGCATTCAGCTGCTCTCTCCTCGGAGCTTTTGCCCAGGAGGTGCTTGGTTCTTCCCTGGCTGTATGGAGACGCTGCCCTGTAGCAGCACCTCGATTCAGGGCTGGACGTGCATATGGCCCCTGCTCCGCGTCCAGCTGGTGCCCCTGCTCCGCCGCCACCAGCACGGCCCTGGCAGGAGCTGCCGGTCTCGCGGCAGGCACGGTCGCCCCTCGCGGGCTGCTCTCCCGGCTCATCGTTCTGCCTCCTCTGCTCCAGTTGGACACCTGGAGACTCCAGTCCACCAGCCTGCGCCAGGCCTGCGAGGTCATGAGCATGCCCAGCGTGAGGACCGCCACCTGGTAGAGCCGCCACGCGTCCCTCTGCAGGCGGTGGTAGGGAGGCAGCGTGTTCAGGTACCCAAGCGCGTGGCCTGCCAGTGTCCACAGCAGCCCGGGGTTGAACACAACAGTGCTGACCACAATAATGAGGAGCAGCAAGAGCAAGCCATAGATATTCACAAAGAAGACGCTGATCAAGAGCTTGGTGACGGAGGCCAGGATCTCGACGGCCAGCTGGCAGGGCGACCACAGCAAGATGGACACGGCGATGGCGCTGCTGGAGATGTGCGCGAGGAAAGCGGCCAGCAGGTCGGTGACTCTCAGGAAGGGGCTGACGACCGAATCCCACAGGGCCCCCAGCAGCGTGAAGAGGGTCTGCATGCCGAGGAGGCACATGTTGATGACGCTGTTGACCAGGTAGGCCAGCAGGCTCATGCAGATGGCCAGCGCCTCGCACAGCTGCCTCTGCAGGCTCTGCCCGGAGGCGAGCACGTTGCAGAGCCCGCGCTGCAGCAGCTCCTTGCCCCGCAGCGCCAGGTGGCACAGGAGGTGCCCCAGCACCTTGAGGCCCTCCAGGCTGCAGCGGCAGCCCCACAGCAGCGCCGCGAGGCCGTGCAGGGCGCCCAGCGCCAGGCCGCCCGCCGCCTCGGCCAGCGCCGCCAGGCCCAGCAGCAGCGCGTTCCAGCAGGCGAGCGCGCCGGCCGAGGCGGCGCCGGGCAGGCTGCAGGGCAGCGCGAGCAGCCAGAGCAGCGCGGACACGAGCGAGGACATGAGCAGGAAGTTCACGTCCAGCAGGAAGCCCAGCAGGTCCGCGGCGAGGCGCAGGCCGCGCAGCAGCAGCCACACCAGGTCCATGGCGGGGCGCGACGGGGGAGCGGGGCAGGCGGCTCCGGCGCTCCCGGCGGCGGGCAGCGCAGCGAGGGGAGCCGGGGGTCCCCGAGCGGGGACGGGCGCCCCAGGCCGGGCCCGCGGCCCCTCAGCCGCCGCCTGCTCCGCGCCCCCTGCCGCTGGGCGCCGCCATCTTCCCGACGGCGGTAGCGCGCCGCCGGCCAATCGGCGGCGGCGGGCGCTGCTTCCCGCCTCCCATTGGGCGGTTCGGAGGACGCGGCGGCGGGCGCGGGGGTGTGGCCACGGCGGCAGGGCCTCAGATTTAAAGGGGCCGGGCTAGGGGTCCTGGCGCTGCTGGCGGCGCCACATGTGTAGTGAGTGTGGGACGGTCTCAGCACGGGCGCTGTGCGCGGGAATGGGGGCGCTTGGCTTGGAGGCAGCTGGGACAGGGGTGGGCAAGATGCAGTCCCTGAGTCCCCAGGTGTTGCGTGGCACGGGGAGCAGGTGCAGCCCTGGGGCAGCACCCCGTGCTGGGGCTATGAGCTGAGCCTAGCCAAGGCAGGGGGTCCCCGTCCGCTCAGCAGCTCCCACTTCCCAGCGTCTCCCAGCAGCTGCTGGCCGCGCTGCGGGCTACAGGGCCGGCGCTGGGCTGTCCACGTGCCTCCGCTCCTGCCCTGCGCCCCCGGGAAGCAGTCCAGCCCCGACGCCTTGACGGTGATGACAAGCCCAGGCACATCCTGTCCTGCAGCACAAGCTTTTTAAGGAAGGAGAGCGAGGGCCGAGCATGATCCATGGGAAAGACATCCGCAGGCGCGGGAGCCAGGGGCCAGGGAGCTACGCGCCACACAGGCTGCGGGATCCCGCCGTGCCTGTGTGTGCACGCGTGGGCACGCACGTGTGCCCAGCCGGCCGCTCCCCTCCAGCCCCTTCCCCTCTGCGCTCTCTCCGGCCCCGTGCTTGTGCTCCTACCCACGTGACGGCGCCCAGATGCTTTGAGCATTTATGGTAATGTTTGGATTTCTTATTACTAAAAAAAAAAAAAAAGAAAAGAAAAGAAAGAGAAGGGCAGGGCGCAGAGGTTGCACTTGCTCCATTCATTCTTTCCTCGTGGCCACAGGGAGGGGCTGCACTGGCGCCTGCGTCTGCATCCCCCCTCCCAGCAGCCCTGCGCTGCTCCCAGCACCTTCCCAGCACCGTGGAGCCCGTTCCCTGCAGCCTCCCTGTGCGCAGAGGCACGAGCAGGGAGCACACGTTGCACCTCCGTGGCAGGGCTTTTCCTTCGCTCCCTGCCTGCCTCAGTCTCTCCTTGGAGCAGGATGTGGTTCAGCCCCAGAGCTGCGCTCTCCTCGCAGGGTCAGTGCAGTGTTCCCCAGGGCCAGGGCAATGTCCCTGCAAGCCGGATGAGGTGTCCGGCCGCAGTGACACGCTGCAAGCAGCCATGGTCTGGGGTTGCCTTGCAGACTTTTGGCTCTTCCGCAGCTCTGGTGACATCCAGGGCACTGAGGACTCAGCTTGGCTGGGCTCGCGTTGGGCCTTGCATGGGGTGCATGTGCAGGAGACAGAGCAGGACTCCGTGCTGCTGAAGGACCTTCCAGGCAGGGGTCGTGGGGAGGGAAACGCTTCCGTCAGGGCCCTACGGAACAGAGGTCTCTGCACATGCTGGAGGTCCAGACACGATGCCATCGTGCTCCCAGCTGTGCTTGGGCAGCCGCGTTGGCAGGGCAATGCCCTGTGGGCTCTCTGGGGCCCTGGTGCTGGGGGTGCGCCGCAGGCTGTAATGGTGCTGACAGCATGGGGACCGCAGCCGCGCTGGGAACATGCCGGCTCTGTGTGACCCAGCATCCTCCCCCATTCCCCCGGGTCCAGCTCTCGGCGCTGGCACGTCCCGGCCTGGCGCTGCCCCGGCGGCAGGAAGGGCGTTCCTGGGCTCTGGGTCTTGCCAGCCCCGCGCCGTCGCTCCCAGCCCGTGCGCTGCCGACCGCGACCAACAGCACTGTGCCCACCAAGGCCCCTCGCGTGCCTGTGCCGGGCCCTGCATGCAGCCCAGGCACCCGTGCACAAGCCGATGGGCACCGTCCTGAGCCGCGCTCTCAAGGTCCCTGCAAGACACCTCACTGATGGATGGGCAGATGCGGATGTAGGCAGCCCCCGCGCTTCGGGGCCCAGCACGAACAATAGGTCGTTCTGGCGTATCCGCTCCAGGAAAATCCCCATCCCCACTCACCTGGCGCAGCTCCAAGGCAGCAAGGTTCTTCCTCTGGCCTTCAGCATGCTCCAAAGATGCAGGTGATCACGCTCGCTCACTCGTGTGTTCCCACTGGTGCCTTGCCCCATGGCCGAGCACTGTGCATGGGCCTCTCCTGGAGGCAGAGCCTGAAGGATATCTGGGGAGTGGGAAGGCAGCTCTTCCCTGCACTCCCCGCCTGGGTGCTGCCTGTGGGCTCATGGCAGAGCCTGAGCTGCCCACCTTGACGTGGGAGGGATGTGGGGCCCTTGATGTAAGGAGCTGGGATGCGTGTCTCCTTCTGGAACCCGGCCAGCCAGCCCTGGGAAACGCAAGTCCTCTTCCATGGGAAAGTCCTGCACAGAGGAATTCCTGCTCAGTCTGGCTGGCCCCTCTGCTCCCCTGGGCTCTGCTGGGCTGGCGTGTCCCCCTGCCTGGGGATCATTTCTCCCTGTGCTTTCTTGCCCTTGGCGAGCTGTCCTGGGGACCACTAGCATGCGAACAACCCTGGCGAGCACCATCAGGCCCCAATGCCAGTTATCCCTCCAGGGCAGCCAGATGACGTGAAGCGTAGGGCAGGGACAGACGGGGGATAGCCAAACGTCCCTGGTCCCGCTAGGATGGGCAGCACTGCAGCATGGGGAGGACAGTAGCAGTGAGCAGGGAGCCCTGCTTTGGGGCACAGGCAATGGGATGTTTGGTTCATTGCCAGAGCTGGCCCGGGCCGTGTCCCACTGGGAGCTGGGCGATTAGCAGCACAGGGCTACAAATGAGCCCTCCTGCCTCCGTGGCCTCAGCTCTGGGATTGCACACGGGTGCTGGGGCTGCTGGAGGCAGCTGCTGCTCCGGGGCATCCCGCGGCCGGACCTCCTGCTGGCCGGGCACATAATCCGCCCTATTGTGCCGGCAAGTGCCCAGTCCCGGCCCATCTGGCAGCAGGACAATGGAGCCTTTTTCCGGACGGCGGGAGGGGGGAGATGAACTCACAAGTCCTCCGAAGGAAAAGGACAGCCTATAAATAGCTGTCCTTGGGCTCCCGGCTTCCCCCGCTGCTCTGTTGGCCCCCTTGTCCCTGAGCACTGCTGCTCCCGCAGCTTCACGCCCAGAGAGCGGGGATTACGGGCTGGGAGCAGAGGCACTAGAGCCGCAGCTCATACTTGCCCGGCCTGGCCGGTATGTGAGTGTGTGCGAGCGAGTGAGCAGTACGTGGCCATTGACACGCTGCTGCGGGGCTGCACCTGCTCTGAGGCGTGGGGAGGCCGTGATTTGGGGACATCAAGGGACACAAACAGCCCTGGGCAGCGAGGCTCCTTCTCCCATGCCTTGGTCACAGCCATCCTCGGGCTAATGTTTCCCCCAGGAATGCTCCTACAGCTGTCCTTGTCACTCCATCCTGTGCATAGCGAGGGCCAGAGAAGATGGCAAAGCCTCCCGCTCCATCCTCACGCTGCTCTCGGCAGAGCCTGGCCCAAATCCTGGCATTTGCACAGTGCAAAACAGCCCTTGGGTGCAGCTGGAAACCCAAGACTTCCTTTTCCTGCCTGCTGCACTCACCTGCAGGTGGATGCTTGGGGTGGCATTTTGCATGGCACAAGGCTGGGTGACCCGTGTGGTCTCTCTATCGACGACTTCAATTCTCTTTTGGGACTTTTCCACCGGTCTGCATCCGCTGAGCCCCGCCAGCAGCTGCCCTGGCAGATCGTACTTGTGCAGTGCAGAAATCCAGATGTTACCTTCCTTCCCCTCTTCCGCTCACGTCCTTCCTTCCTCCGCCTGCCCAGCCCCTTGCCTGTGGCTCCACTCCCAAACAAAGGCCCCCGTAGCCATGGTTAATAATCCCCAAATAAAGGCTGAGCAGGAGATGAAGGGGAGGAGATGGGAGATGCTGGGAGCCTGGCTGAAGAGGGAGTCTGGGAGAAGGTGTTTTCCTGAGCAGTGGGACAGGGCCATTGAGCAGGGCTCCCAGGGTCATGTGAGGACAGGGTGCCGGGGTGTCCCATCGCCGTGTCTGCGGTTTTGCCGGCAGGGAAGGTGAAGCTGGAGGTCTGACGGTACAGGCACATCCCTGTACTCATCCTAGTATTCGTGGGAGCCTTAAAGTAGGTAAAATGCTCTCCTGGAGGCCCCAGAGAGGCTGCTGCAAGGGTTGTTCCCCACTGCAGGGAGCCTTAGCTCTGCTGTGCCTCAGCCGTGGGGAAGCGGGGCGGCCGCCTGGGATCCCTATACCGGAGAAGGGGGCCCCTCAAGCCTCGGACGGTGCTGCGTGAAGAGGTGCAGGTCCAGGCAGCCGGCGGCTTCCGCCCAGCACATCTGCCTTTTATCTACTTGCCAGCTGTGCCGACAGCTCATCACTCACCGTCGGGAGCCAGAGCCAGGGGTGCCCCCGTGCCCACGGCCATTGGTGGGATGTGGGGCAACCGTGGGGGGACTGGTGGGCTGCTACATGCTCCCTGGCCCCTGTATTGCCCCCGGCCTCCCCCCGCCCTGGTGCTCCCAGTGTTTTGGAGCAGGGCCCGTGCTTGTCAGCGAGCAGCTTTGCAGCTTGGCTGAGAAGGAGGCGCCAGAACGGGGAGGCTCAGAGGCTGAGGCTGGGATCTGGATGGAGCAGCACCAGGGATCCAGCCCCGTCACCCGAGGAGGCAGACGGGAGCCTCTGGATACCTGGGATCTCCAAGCTGCTGTCGGCTCTCAGGCACACCATTTATTTGCACAGGTGCCTCCCTTCCCTGGCCAGCGCCAGCCCTGTGCGCCCAGCCGTGTCCTGACAGCTCTGCCCCTGGAGCACAGCCCTGCAAGCTGCCCCGGCTGCGTTCAAGGCACCACAGGGCCAGAGCTGGATCCATGCTGTGTTTCTTTCCCTAACAGTCAGATAGCAGAGTCGAGGCCAAATCCAAGAAGCAAGTGTCAAAATAACAAGGTGCAAGATAAGGCGACGGGGGAGGAAAGATCCAGGTGTTCATCGTGGCTGTGCCCTGCGGTGCGACCGTGTGCCCACAGGCTGCCACACACAGCGAGGCCAGGCAATTTCATGCCATCTGTGGAGGCTCACAGGTCTGCCTTTGAAAGCCTGCCCGATTCTCCCACTTTGATAGGGAGCGAAAAACAGGATTTTCTGCAAAGTTCAAATGCTGTTAGAAGTAGCGGCCCTGCAAACTGGAGGCCTGGCTGTTTCAGCAACAGCAGGAGCCTGTTTGAGGGTGGCATGCTCCCCGCTACAGCAATTTGCCAGGCCATTTTCCCCCGGGAATAACTTTGTCCTGTCTAACTGCTGGGAATTTTTCTGCAGAAGTTTTATTATTAACATTTTGTTTTATTTTTAACACAGAGTAGAGGCTAGCACCGGAACGAAATGCCCCAGCAATCCTCAGGCAGCCCGTCATCTGGGTCTTTTTGCTTGTTTGTTTTCTTTGCTGGATACTTCTTGCGGGAAAGTGGGAACCCCTGGCTCCTCTTCCCAGGCAGGGTGGGATTTGGGGATTTTAGGAGGCAGTTTCTGGTGGAAAACAGAGCATTCCTATCCTCCTTTTCCAGAAAGCAGGTTCTAAGCACTGGTCCTGCATCTCCCTCACCTTGTTCTGCTGTGGGCAGAGGAGGAGCTGCAGCATCTGATGGTGACAAGGAGCCCTGAGGGCTGCGGTAACATGCGTTCAAGGGGCCCCGTTTCCAGAGTCCAGGGTAGCTGCACTGACCTCCAGAGAGGCTCGTTTGTCAGGTGCAATCATCTACTAGTTTAACAGACACTGGGCAACACGAAGCAACAAACATGAGGCAATTTGCAAGCATAACAAAAATAACAAGGCTAAAAAGGTACAATGAAAAGCTAAAAATAAAACACGCATAGCAGATCTCTACCATTGCACAGCGCAATGCCCATGCTTGCCCTTTCTTTGCCTGACAGGCCACCTTTCTATTTCTAATAATATTTTTCTTGTCTGATTCTCATCACGCTCAAGCTCTGCCAGGATGATTCAGGTTCTTCCTGGCAGTGGCATCAGGGACATCCCGGCTGCCATGTGAGTTGTGAGGTCCGCAGGGCAGCTGATGGGGAGCCAGAGTCCACCCTAGAGGTATGCATCTTGTTTGCTTTTATCATTCTCCTGGAGGAATGTGGCTTGCTTGCTTTCATCGCTCCCAGGCTTAGTTTGTTATCTGATCGATAAATGCCAGACCACAGTTACACAACCGGATCGGTGGCCTCAGCCAATAACAAGACGGACAACGGTGTGGTCAGCACTCAGCAGTGGTGAGGTTCAGCAGATAACCCAGTCCAAGGCTCCATAGCACCTGGATGCTCACAGTACCTGTCTGCCACTTCTTTCTGACTAGGCTGGCCCAGCTCTCATGGACTTACTGGAGGGCTGCAGCAACCCCAAGCATGGTGACACTGGTGGTGATGGCACATGGGCTTCCTAAACCCAGACCCCTGTCCCAGGGGCTGCACCATCCTGAGTCCCACCTCGGCCTGCGTGACTGCTCTGCAATGCAGGGGCTATCAAGGGGAGAGCCTGAGTGGGTGCCCGGGCACTGCGATGCCTTCACACCTCTCCATGGACAGCTGCTCCACTGGCAATGGCAGCAAGAACATCCTCAGCTGCAGTTGGCGTGGGGTTGAGAGCTGCTCAAGGAGCAGCTTGGGAGTGAGCACTGAGCTCCCTTGCACTTGTCCTCCACTCTGCACAGTCACATAAGGGCCAGGGATCTTATCACTATCCAGCATTGCCATTTAAAGCAAGTAATCTTGCAGGGGAAAATTTAATCATTTCCGATGAATCATCATGTCCATTTGTCCAGGAAAGTGTTGAGGGGGTTGCAGAGGGGGAGGGAGATGCAGCAGATGGGAGGAGAGCTGGGCTCCTGGGTGGCACCGGAGCAAGGCTGGTGCAGGTCAGAGCTGCTCAGCGGCACCCGTGCAAGTGCGGGAGCAGACAGCAGTGCAGAGGGGTGCTTGAGAATACCTGTGGTTTTCAGCTCTGCTTTTGGGATAGCAGCCAAGCACCATCCTGCTGAGCCCTCTCCAAGCAGTGCTCTGCTAGGCCTGTGCCAACCGACTGCTTTGCCTTCCCTCTCCACCACCACGCCACGGATCATCATTGCCTGTTCTCTGGCATGGGAAACTGAGGCACATGGGGTGCAGCCCTGCAGCAAGGACAGGACCTGGGAGAGGTGCCAGGCCCCTCATCTGCCTGTTTCACTCTCTGGCCACTGTTCCCCAGGGGAAACTATGCCTCACCCCACAGTGTGTGCAGCAGCCGGGGCGATGCAGCCCACGCTGCCCCGGGCCAGCAGCACAGTTTGCGCTTCAGGAAAAGCAAACAGAGCAGGGAAGAGGATAAGCAAAGGTTCAGAGCCCCTGGGCTGACAGCTGGAGGAGAGAGCGTTGGGGCTGCTCCCAGGGGAGGATGGGTTAGCCTGGGGCCTGTCCTTGGGTCAGGTTAACGCGGGCGAGTGAGCTGTGTCACTGAGATGAGGCCAGGAGATGGAGAAGGACTCCAAAGGAGGGAAAAGCCCCAGCACTTGTCCCTCCAACATGGTGAGAACCAGATGCTATAGCTCTCTTTGACAAGGAGGGGAAACTGAGCCTGGTAGCCAGGCAGTGGTGAACTGGGGGCAAGAGGGGCTTGGCCAGGATGTGCTGCATCACCAGCCCCAGGGCGCTCGGCAGGGGCTGCTAATGCCAGCGCCTGGCTCCATGCCGTGGTGCTCCCCCAGGCACGCACCTTGATGGCGGCACGGCGCCTGCCCGGCCCCGGGACAGGAGGCCGGGCCGTGTTTGGTCAGGGCAATTACCGCCGGATAATAGCAGCCTTGTGCAGCCGGAGAGCCCTGAGAGCCCTTCCGCGTCCTCCACGTCCTCCGCCCCTTCCCCCGCCTCGGCCCCCTTCCCCCTGCCCGCCAGCGCAGCCAACAGCTTTTCCACGGCCGCCCCGTCTGACAGCTGCGCGAGGGCCCCGCGCTTCAGCCCGCTGCGCACCGCCGAGCAGGGCCGCCGAGGGGCTGTGCACCGGGGCTAGGCCGCCGCTTTGCCAGGGCAACCGGCCCCCGCAAATGGGAGCCCAAGGAGCTCTCGGCCTTTTCTGGCATTCCCAGGCCCCTGTGGATGCTGACCCCACGTCCACGGCCTCTCCCCCAGGGCTGCCGGTAATTCCCTGCTCCAGTGCCTCGCTGTCCGCTGCAATTAACCTTTGCAGTCCAGACTGGCAGGACCTGGCAGACTGCATGTCTCTAAGCAAGGATGAAATGAAACCCCAATAATAGAGACAGAAATGATGGGAAGCTGGCCCACAATCAGCCCGTGGGGGACCATTCGCTGTCTGGAAGAGGCCCAGGCGCCAGCTGAAACCTTGCACCCGTCCGAGAGATGCTGTGACCATCTCTGTGGACCTCTGCTGTGCCCCTGGCCGCCGGGAGCAGGAGGAAAGGGTGCCCATCAGGGTGGAGTGCCGGTGCTAGGCAGAGATGGAAGGGGAGACGGGACTTCTCAGGGGACCCCGTCGCCTGCTTGTGCCCAGACCGTCCTCGAGGCAGCCGTGGGGGGTCCAGCGCCGGGGGTCCCGGGCAGGTAGCCGGGGGCGGTACCGGGGCCCGCTCCGCCTGCCCCGGGGGGCAGTGCTGTGCTCGGCGCGGCAGGAGCGCCGGGGCGGCGCCGGGGCGGCTGCCGCTGGGCGGTGATAAGCGGCCGCGGGCGGTGGGCAGGCTTGGAGCGGCCCCGGCGCCTTCTTCCTCCTCTTTCTTCTTCTTCTTCTGTTCCTCCGCTGCCTGACGTCAGCCCGTGGGTCCCGCTCAGTCACGGGCGGCGAGCATGGCTGGGGGGCGGTGGGCGGCTGCGCTCGCCCTACACTGGGGCCTCCTGCTCAGCTGCGGTGAGTGGGGCTGGGGTCCGTGGGAGGGGACTCTCCGGGTGGGCCGGCCCGGTTCGGCCCGGTTCGCTCCGCTCCGCTCGGCCCCAGCGCACCTGCGTCCGTGCTCGGGAGGCCCAGCTGCGGGCGGGCGGGCGGGCGGTTGGGCGGCCGGCCCCTTCCCCTGCGCTTTGTTTGGTAAAACAACCCGCGGAGCGCGGCCCGAGCAGCCCCCGAAACGGCAGTGAGCCCCAGCCGGGGCGGCGGGGCGACTGGAGCAGCCGAACCGGTGACCACGAGGGGCTGCTCTTCAGAGCTCGGGGCGCTTGGGAAGCAGTCCCCCCTTTCCTTCTAAGGAGCTCGTTTCTCTCCGCTCCACACTCCTCTCCCTGCCCCTGAGCAGCGTGTTTCTTCTGGGGTTTTTTTTTTTTTTTCGCTTTTTTTTTCTTTCTTTTTTTTTTTTTTTTAAACCTCTTTCCAGTCTATTTTCCCCCCTGTGTTGGAGAGGGGGAGTATATATTTCCTGCCCTTGCCCAGGGGGCAGATCTGCTGCACTGATGTCTCCCCACCTGCCTGACCTCTACCCCAACACCTTATGCCTCTGTGCCACATGCACACAGTGGCTCACGCCACAGGGGAAGCCCGCTCTGGCCAGGCTTTCGCGCCATGAGAGAGCTCAGCGGCTGAGCCAAAGGCAACCGCTTGCACCTCCCCAGCCCAGGCTGGGATCCCCTTCCTTGCTGCACATGTGCTGAGCGCCTCTGTTATTGGTTGGCCGGGATGGGGTGTTTGCGAGCCCAGACGGAGCAAAAGGCTAGATGGTTACCAGGAGCTTGGGAAGCTGTGGCCAAGCTGTCCCCAGGCAGGCTGAGGGGCTCACTGAGTCCCCTGAGAGGGCCCTGACCTCCCTGGGGCAATGCCAATAGGGCTACCAGCCCTTCGAGGGGATAGAACCAGTGCAAAGGCTGTCCTTGCCATCCCAGCCCCTTCTCTACTGGGATCCATGGCTGGCTGAGTGGCTGTTCGTGTCCTCTTGATGGCTATTGTCACCTGGCTGGGGAGCTGTGAGCCCTGCCTGCTGCTGGTCAGGGTATAGAAGGGGGCTGTGCTTACTTAGGAGAGGGCCAAGCGGCAGTTTCCCACATCACTGAGTGTGGCTGAAGTTGCTTTGGCTCGGTTTCTGTAGCACCACCAAAGTGAGGGCTGTGCTGGGAGGGAGGCAGCTGGGGCCCTGTACCCCCGTTCTCCTTCCTCCGTGAGGAAGAAGGGGTGCAGGTGATCCTGCCCAGTGAGCTGGGCACTGGGGAGTCCCAGCCCGCAGAGCTGTGCAGATGCAGGATGGTGTTGCCAGGATGGAGGAGGATGGTGTGTGTGCATGTGTTGCGAGTAGGCATGACCTACCCCTGACTGCTTTCCTTGAGTGAGGAACCTGTTCCCCGGAACCCTCCAGCATCCCATCCTGCTTGGGGCTCCCCGCCTCTGCTGTGCCCCTCTGCTGCAGGTTGGTGCAGCGGGCGGGCGGCGGGCACAGCCGTGCTCCACATCAACTCCCGCGAGCGGGCGCCAGCCTCCTCGCGCACCTCGGCTCGGCGGGAGTCAGCAGAGAGGCTGTGCTGCTCCCCACCCCCTTCCCCGGCTCTAAAAGCAAATCTTTGTTCTTGTGAAGCCCTGGCTGCTGGCCGGCTGTTCGCGAGCCAGATGGAAAGGCACAGGGGCTCTCCTTCCTTCCCTGCTTGCTTCTTGCAGACGTACTCTCCAGATCTCTAAGGTCTCCCGCTGGAGCTGTGCCAGGTGCCTGGGGTGCACGGTGCAAGCTGGAGCTCGGCTCCAATCCCTGCACTGCCGACGGGTCTCCAGCCCTGCCCGGGCTCCCTGTAGCTCTGTCAGGAGTGAGGAAAGTCATGTCACCCCCCAGAGAGCCTGTTATCCTGGGGAGCCTGTGACCCGGGGTGGGGAGCGCACCCCCAGCTCCAGGGCTACCCTGGTGAGTCCCTGTGGCCTCCAGCCAGCAGCATTTACAGCGAAGCTGTGGGGCTCCTTCCAGCCTCTGGCCACCTCAGCAGGGCTGGTACCTGGCCGAGCCCCTCACCCTGGAATGCAGCCCTCCCCAAGGGAATGGGGGCCCTTGCTCAGGCAGGGTGGGGCCTGCTGCCTGCTAGTCCCCCTCCGCAAAGGGCTCAGGATGGGCAGCGGGACGGTGCCAGCTTCGCATGCCTGCCATTCCCCAGCTCTGAGCTCACATTCCCTGCTGAATTGCTGCTAGGACGAGGGCGCTCGTGTCGAGCGGGTCGCTCGACAGCAGCTTGCCTTTCCTCTCAGGGTCCTATGCAGAAGGGCCAGAAACCTCCGAGTGGCACAGCCCGGCCTGGTTCCTTGCAGCACCGAGGTGTTGGGGTGCAGCAGGTTGGGGCACAGCCTACCTCTGTCCCCCCATTCACCTGGTCTGTGGGTGTGGGAGAGGCCAGGCAGTCAGTGCAGGTTTATGCAGGGTACAGGGGTGCTTCTGCTGCAAAACACTGTTTTTCCACATGCACTCAGGACAGCTTCCTGAGCCAGTGGGTGCTTTTCTCTTGGGCATTCACCTGTTTTTCTAGCACCTCCTTTCCTGTGTAGTACTTGGCTTGTCCCTCTTTGTTTGGCACTTGCTCCACTATGTCTGTAAAATGACTGAGGCTAAAGCTGGATGATGGGCTACCCTCACGGGGTGAGGGGACTGTACTGTGGCACATTGAGTTTGGGGGCTCTGCCACCGTGTAGCCACCCTGGGCCAAAGGTGCTTTGTCGGGTGCCTTTGAAGCCATGCTGTGCCTCCCGTGTGAAGCAGAGCGGCTCTCACCGAGCGGCACTATCAGGGCCACTGTTGACACAGCTGGCTTCCTCCAGCCCACTTGCCCCAGTTCCCATATCTGGGCTGGGTGGTGGTTGTTGAGTGTCCAGTCCCTCCTGTGTGGCCCTGCGCCAGCCCAGCCCTTGCAGTCCCTGTGCCTTGCACTGCCACCGCTCCAGGGAGGAGGCACCGGCGTTCCCAGTGCCTGCTCCACAGCGGCAAGGCCGAGCCTCTGCCTGCTGCCCGGCGCAGTGGGAAGCTGCTTAGTTGCCCGTCCTGGATCGATAGCCATTACGTCCCTGTGCCATTCTGGAGTGTGGCCAGGTGCTCCATTAGGGCTGCAGTAGAGCGAGCGGATGGGCAAGCACGAGTGGATGTGGGAGCCGATGGGGCGAGCAGGGCGCGCTCTGCAATGGCAGAGGTGGGTGCCACGTGCCCACACCCTGCACTGGGCAGCAGGGCCACGGTGAGGGGTGACCTTGGGCATGCTGCAGCAGGAGGTGAAACCTGCGCTCCTGGCCTCTCGGTTCCCACCTGGCTTGGGGGGTCCTGAGCTAGGGAACGGCGAGGGCAGGGGTCCTGGTAGGATGTGGTAGCTTTGGCCTCGTTCATGCTACCTTAGCTTGGCAGGAGGGAAGGGCTCAGCCAACCCGGGCCAGCCCTCCTCTGCTGCTGCCTCACGTGTCCCATCTTGCCGTCAGGGAACACAGCGTCTCTTTCGTGCCCGGGCTCGCAGGCTGCTGCGGGGGCTGCGCAGGCTGATGTCACGGTTTGGGTCCCGGGCTGCAGGAAGGCGCAGCCCGTGTGCTGAGGCGTCAGCCTCCAGCAGCCAGCCCCTTCCCCAAACCCCGGAGCTCTCCAGGACCAGCAACATCCCAGGGATGCTGCTCCGGGGCAGTGGCTTGGGATGGGTGCATGGGGGGCTTCCTTGCACTCCCCCAGCCCTCTGACGGCCTCTGCCTCACAGTTGCTGCTGGCAAGGTGGAGGTGTCCATGCCGCCCGTGGTCGAGGTGGAGCTGGGGGAAACTGCCCGGATCGAGTGCAACTTCTCCATCCCTGGAAATGTTTCCTACAGCATCATCAACTGGTTCTACGTGAGTGCCCAGCTGGCTGGCAAGGGGGGAGAGCAGCTGGTCAGAGCGGGGGCAATAGCAGCAAGGCGGGAGCTCTCGGACAGGCCCCCGCTCATCCCTGTCTTGGTCCATGCAGGTGGAGCGGCACAGCAAGGTGAAGCTGTGCTCAGTGCTGCCTGGTGAACTCCTCGAGGACAACACCAGCTACAAGGGACGGCTCTCAGTGGGCCGGGACAACTCCCTCTCCATTAGCCGTGTCACGGTGCAGGATGCCAGGCCCATCGTCTGCCAGGTGGAGGCAGATGACCATGGTGCCGGCGAGAACCGCACCGAGCTCCATGTATACAGTGAGTATCGGGGCAAGAGCGACCTGCTGCCCACAGGGCGGTCCCGGCCTGCCTAATGCTTGCGGGGTGGCTGCTCTTTGCAGAAGCTCCCGAGGCCCCGGAGATCACGGCCAACAAAGGTGGCGTCTCCGTAAAAAGCAGAGACCTCCCGCAGGTGAGGAGAGGCCCCGATCAGGGTGAGAGCAGGGCCTCCCCTTTGCTCCCCTCGGCCTCCTCCCCAGGCCAGGGAACCCAGTAGCTTCCCCATGCCCACAGCCCTCTGTGCCTTCACAGATTGCCACGTGTGTGAGCAGGAACAGCTTTCCACCGCCCAACATCACCTGGTACAAGAACAGGGAACAGCTACACATGGAGGAGAACAGTGAGTCGGAGTTGGGGGGATTGCAGCTGCCCAAGCTGCCTGCTGGTGGTGCACAGAGGAGAGAGGGTCTGGTTGCTGTTGCTAGCAGGGGTCTGGCTGGAGCCTCGTGGCCTGTGGGATCTCTTCCTGGCCCCTCTTTGCTCTGGGCACAGCCGCTCCTTCTCTTGCAGAGGTGAAAATCTCGGAGACGGTGACCCGCGAGTCCAGCTGGCTCTACACAGTGAGCAGCAGCCTCTTTGCCTCTGTCACACGCGAGGACCGCAACTCCCTCTTCCACTGCGCTGTGCACTACTGGCTGCCGGGGCAGCAGCGCGTCATGGAGTCGCAGAACGTCAGCGTCAACGTCTTCTGTGAGTCCAGGGCTGGAGGGCCGGGGCCAGGCTGCAGCAGCGCCTGGTGCCCCCGGAGCTCCCACCCTACTCCCTGCTCTCCCAGACCCCGCGGAGCACGTGACGCTGCTGGTCCTGCCGTCCCCGACACTCGTGAAGGAGGGCGACAATGTGCAGCTGGTGTGCAAGGCTGATGGGAACCCAGCTCCCATGTTCAGCTTCTACAAGAGAGAGGTGAGACTGGAGGAGCAGCAGGGCCCTCTGCTCTTCATGGACATCTTGCATCCTGGTGTTCCTTGTCCCCAACCCAGAGCGAGGTGCAGATCTTGGGATGCAGGATGCCTGTGTGGGGATAACAGCAATGTTTTCTTGCCCACACTTGCAGTTGGAGGACAACTGGCAGGACCTATCATCACTAGCAGATGCCAACAGTGGGGTACTGAACCTACATGATGTCAACAAGAGCAGCAGTGGCCTGTACAAGTGCCAGGCCCTTGATCTGGATGATATGGAACAGCTGGAGAAAGACGTGGAGCTTGTTGTGAATTGTAAGTCTTTGGGGCGTGGGATGCTGCACGTCTCAGGATGTGTCCCCCAGCCCTTCTGCTTACTCTTAATACCACCTCCATCCCTCCCCTAGATATCGAAGGGGTCAGCGTGAAGATGGAGCCATCTTCACCCCTTTGGGAAGGGGACAGCGTGAGGCTGAGCTGCAGTGCCAATAGCCCTCTAGCCCTCGACTTCCACTGGAGGGATGCAAAGGTGAGCAGACCTTTAGGCACTGCAGGGCTGGGCTTGGCAACCCTATTTTAACTCCGAGTTGTCTGGAGCTATGTGCTTGGTCCACCCTTCCTAAGAGGGCAAGGATGAGATCCTGCTTGGACGAGATCTATGTGTTTGCCGCTATGGCATTTCAGAGAGATTCTGTGCTTGCAAGCTCCTTTGCTGTGCACAGAGCGGGAGCTGAGTGTCCCTGAGATGCCTGCAGAGCCTCAGGAAGGGGACACTAAAGGGCTGTAGTTGGGGCTAATTGATCATAGTTGGAGTGTCATGGGTCTTTCCTCCTCAGGGCAAGATAGTTGCAGAAGGAAAACAGCTTTTGCTGAGCAACCTCACCTTTGAAACCTCCAGCAATTTCAGCTGCAAGGTGACTGCACACAAAGTGCCGGGGCTGGAGAAGAGCAAGCAGGTGGCTGTAGCTGTCCAAGGTAAGAGCTAGTGAATGCAGCGGTGTGCAAACCCTGGGTTCAATCCTTGTAACCCTTGAGAGCCGTGGATGCTGATGTGCCCTCTCCACAGGGAAGCCACGAATCGTGTCCATCAGCTCGCCGCTCTATGTGCGGCAGGATGAGGTGGTGAACCTGACCTGCAAGGCGATCGCTTTCCCCCGGCCCTCCGTGCAGTGGAACATCAATGGGACGGTGAGAGCTCGCTCTCGGTCACGGCTGCTCCAAGGGCACGTGTGTTGCACCGGGCACTGACTCCTCTGCTGCTTCCCCTGTGCTGCAGACTCACGAGTACATGGAGAACCAGCATATTGCCAGCAACTTGACGGTGCGTGTGGACCACAACCTGCTGCAGGCAGGAGCCATGTGCAGGGTCACCAACGCCCTGGGCACCAGTGAGAAGCACATCCAGCTGCTGGGTGAGTCTTGGGCTCTTCCCCTTGCCCACCTGCTCGCGGGGGCCTGGATATGGACTAGCAGCCTCTGCAGAGGAGCCACCGCATCGTGGCTCAGCTGAGCGGTTCTCTTTCCCTTCCTCCCTGCCAGTGGAGAGCATCAGGAAAGGTCAGAGTCCGCACTGACGGGTGCATGTGGCCTCTGGCAGAAAACATTGCCACAAGCAGGACTCACGCCCATGCCTTGCCAGGGGACAGAGCTTTGTCTGATGCTGCACATGCCATTTCTCTCCTCTCTCTGCTCGCCAGAGTGGGAAATGGAGCCTCTGTCTCTGCTTGTTTACACAGCAAAATACAAGTTGCCTCTTCACTCTGTAGCTTGGTAGGGCGAGCGTATGTGGCTTCCTGAAGCCCAGGCATCTGGCTAGGAAGCAAAAGGCATGATGTCTTGCCAGAAGTCCCTGTGAGCCGTGCCCCAAGCACATGGTGGCGGGGGGCGGGCAGAAGCAGCAAGTAAAGCATGACATGCATGAGCAGAGCAGCTCCGTGCCTCTATCTGCAATCTGCAGGGAGCTGGGGCAGGAGCAGAGCCCAGGAGCCCTTGTGGTGCTTTTTGGGGGGCAGGACACGTTTAACCACCTACTGCTTTCTGTGGTGTTCAGATCACAAGGTGCCAGAGAGCAAAGGTGTGATCATCGTGGCCATCATTGTCTGCATTCTCGTGGTGGCTGTCCTGGGGTCTGTCATCTACTTCTTGCACAAGAAGGGCAAGATTCCATGCGGCCGAGCGGGCAAACAGGACATGTAAGCACTGCCTCTCCCCCTGCTAGCCATTCCTGGGTCTGGAGGTGGTCGTCATCGCTTGTGCTTCCCATCTCATCACACCTACCAGTGCCCAGCTCAAGGAGGGGAGGCAGCAGGGCAGCGCTTTGCGGGTGGGACACTTGCTGGGGCCTCAGCAGCACTTGGAGCTTCTCACAGCCTGGAGATCTGCATGACTCTCCCCTTCCTTGCAGGGAGGCAATGAGGAGAAGAGCAAAGTGGTAGAGCAGCTGAGGGCTGGGTCACCTGAATTTCCCCCATGCAGGAGCCCCATTCCCTCGGCTCCAGAGCATCCCTGAGATGGAGCCACAGGGTTTGGCCTCGCTCAGCTGGCCCTGTGCCCTCCTTGGTATCTCGAACATGTCTCAAAACTATCACCTCCCTCCCCTAGCACCAGGCCAGAGGCGCGTAAAGACAAGATTGTAGTTGAAGTTAAGTCAGATAAACTTTCCGAAGAGGCGGGGCTCCTGCAGGGCGCCAACGGTGAGAAGAGACCTGCCGCTGACCAGGTAGGACAGAGCGACGTGCACTGCCCTTGGCCAGGGCTGGGGCTGCTCCGCGGGTAGGTGCCGAGCTGAGGAGCACGGAGGGGATGTGTCCAGGTAAAGCCTTTCTCCTCTCTGCCAGCTCCCGTCCCAGCACTCCCAACCCTGCATGGGCATTCATCATCCATCAGCAGTGCTTGAGATCGGCCAGCCGGGAGGGGAGTTGCAGGAGTATTAGCTGGCCAGCACAAGAGCAGAGCGGGTGTTGCAAGAATGGGCTGTACTGGTGCTTTTGGCATCAACGCTTCACTGTCGCCGTGCCCAGGCTTCCCCCACTAGTGTGTCCTGCTGAGCCCTAGGATGCAGCACCTGAGCCAGCTGCTCTTGTACGGGCCTTAAGACAAGAAATTCCCCACTTCCTGGTACGGGTCCCTCACTTGCTGCCCTTTTCCCTGGGGCATATTATATTATTATATTTATATTATTATATTATGCCCTGTTGGCATAGGGCCTAGGGCTGGTGTCTTTCTCTGTAGCACTGCTACGTGTCACACAGACAGCTGCTGTAGAGATCCTCCTCCTCCTCACCTTTAACTGCCTTCTTTTATGTTTCCCTCTCTCTCTCTTTTTTTTTTTTTTTTTTTTTTTTTAATCTGCGCACCAAAGAGCGAGAAATACATCGATCTGAGAACCTAGTGAGGAGAATCTGCTCAGTGCTTTCTTCCTTCAGCCCTTTCCTGCTCTTGGATTCCCCTGTCCCACACCGCTCCAGCGCTTTGGGTGCGCAGCCAGAGACATTTCCCACCGCGCAGCACTGAGCCCACAATGCGTGGAGCACCATCCTCCCTGTCTGACTTGGCATCACCTCCTGACTTAGCAGCAGCATACGTGGACTCACTTACTACAGCAGCCAAGTCATAGGTGATGTTGGACAGAAATAACCCATAGAGCTACCTGCTGCAAGGATGTGAGCCTTTATCAGGAAGCTTGTTCTTCCCAGAAGAGTGGGAAAGTTTTTGATGCATTTTAGCCTGAACTTGCTCAGAAAAGGTGGCTAAGTAGTGCTTGTGCTCAGAGCTCCCGTGAGACATCTTGGTCACCTTAGATGTAGCAGTGTGCAGGTAAGTAGAGTGAGGTGTGCGAGCAGTGGCTGTTAAGTAGGGTTTGCCAGACTGCCTTGAGAACACAGCACTGTTGGGTCTTTGTTTTTTTCCCTTTGAGCTGTTTGTGTCCAGGGGTTTAGCCCCATGTGTGCGGGCAGTCCTGTGCCGGTAGGGCGCTCCTTATGAGGTAGATGTAGTCCTGCTGGAAGGACAGGAGGAGAATGGGGCATCAGAGCTCTTGAACACATGCCAACGGTGCCCTTTAAGGTCTGGTTTAGAGTTGAGGGAACCTTGCTTAGTGAGTTGGGGGGGGGTTCCCTTTCCCTACAGCCTCAGGAATTTGATAATCGTTAGGTATCATTATGGCTACAAGCAGCAGTGGGTGCCAGAGCCCCATCTAGTTCTGGACTATTGTGTCACAGCTCAGGTTTTCTTGTGCTGCCAACTATCAGACCTCCCACCTCCTAATAAACATGGTGTGTTTTTTTTGTGCCTCAGTGGCACCCCTGGCTCCACAGCCATGTCAGTGGGACAGGAACCAGGGGGAGAAGGGAAGAGGCCAGGCAGTCTGCTCTGAGCTTATGCGGCGGTGCCTCAGTTGGTGCCACTGCTAGTCCCAAATAACGTCATAAAGTCTTCGACACATCCTCCCCGCTAGCACTGCAGCCTCCCAGCCACGTACTGCTCGCGCCGCTCTGCCCCTGCACTCATCTTTTCCTCCAGCTCTTCAGCTCAGGGCCTGGGCTTAGTCTGGCACGGGGAGCAACGTCCTGGTTGCGCCCGCTCAGCAGCCTCTGCTGCCAAGCAGGAGCCGTGCAGCAGCCAGGCCAACAAGTCCTGGACTAAATGGATGAGCCGTCCTTGTGAGCTAGAAGTCTTGTGGAAGCAAAAGCTTTGGTTTATATATATATTTTTGTTGTTTTCTGTGTAAATTCTCAGAAGGTTTTGTCTGATACTTGCAAGTTCTTTTTTATTATTATATATATATTATATATATATATGTGAAAATAAAGGAAAAATGTCAAAGCTGGAATCTATTTCTTTTTAAATTGCAGAACCAAACAAATAAAAAAAACCCATAGAAAAAGAAATAAAAATCAGGAAAAATAAAAAGAATAAAAAAGGAAAGAACAGAAACAATAGAAAATACACATCTAAATAAAAACAAAAAATATCCCCAAAAATAACAAAATGACATAAAAAAGACAAAAATAATAAAAATAAAAGGAATTAAAAAATAAGAATAATATAAAATTAAAAGGAAATAACAAACCTGAAAAAGAATTTAAAAAATAACTAAAAGAAAACCAAAATAAAACACTGGAAAGAATAAAATAAAAATAAATAATAACAAAACGGGAAAAGTAGAAAATGAAAAACAAAGAAAAACAAGAAAAGGATTATAATCCAAATAGAAAAATTAAAAAAAATGGAAAAAAATAAAGGGAAAAATAGGAGAAAATAAAAGGAAAAATAAAATGAAAATAAAAACAAAGGGGGAAATAGAAAGAAAACATAGAAGAAAAGAAAAAAATTAATCAAGAAAAGAAAGAAAAAAGAAAACATAAAAAAAAATAAAGGGGATATAGATGTTGATGTGGCTGTTGGTTAGGAGTCAGCATTTGACTGCTGGGGAAAAAGAAAGAAAGAAAGAAAGAAAGAAAGAAAGAAAGAAAGAAAGAAAGAAAGAAAGAAAGAAAGAAAGAAAGAAAGAAAGAAAGAAAGAAAGAAA